CAGTGCGACTGTTGCCATGGGGGAAGCAATGTGGGGTGTGGGCGGTCACGGCATGGCACAGGCGAGCAGGGCATGAAGGTGTGCGCAGGCAGCTGACGGTATGCGCAGGCAGCTGACAGTATGCGCAGGCAGCTGACGGTATGCGCAGGCGGGTGTGCTGTATGTGCTCCCAGGTGTGCGGTATGTGCTGACAGGTGTGCGGTATGTGCTGACAGGTGTGCGGTATGTGTTGTCAGGTGTGCGGTATGTGCTGTCAGGTGTGCGGTATGTGCTGTCAGGTGTGCGGTATGTGCTGTCAGGTGTGCGGTATGTGCTGTCAGATGTGCTGTATGCGCGTGCAGATGTGCTGTATGCCAGGGAGGTGGGCAGGGGGCGGACGAGGGGAGGGGGAGAGCGAGCGGGGAAGGAGGGCGTGCAACGAGTGCGCGGACGAGGAGAGCGTGGACGACCGGAGCGCGGATGAGCAGACGAACAGGGCGCGCGGACGGCCAGGGTGCGGATGACCAGGGCGCGCGGACGGCCAGGGTACGGATGACTAGGGCGCGCGGACGGGCAGGGCGCGGACGCGAAGGGCGGATGAGTAGAGCGTGCGGACGGGCAGGGCGCGGACGAGCAGGGCGTGCGGACGGGCAGGGCGGGGACGCGAAGGGCGGACGAGCAGAGCGCGCGGACGGGCAGGGCGCGGACGACCAGGGCGCGCGGTCGGACTAGCAAGGGCGTGCGAGTTGCAGATCTGAGCACGCGGAATGCAGGTTTGGGCGCGGGAGAGTAGATCTGAGCGCGGAATGCGCAGATCTGAGCGCGAAATGCGCAGATCTGAGGGCAGGAGGAGTAGAGCAGGGCGCGGGAGGAGTAGATCTGAGCTCGGAAGGAGGAGATGTGAGCTCGAGAGGAGTAGATCTGAGTTCGGGAGGAGTAGATCTGAGCTGGGGAGGAGTAGATCTGAGCTCGGGAGGAGTAGATCTTGTTATAGTCTGCAGTCCACTTAGAGGTCGCGGATGCCCATGAAACCCCTTAAGCAGAATCTGACGTCTTCAAACCGCCTCTGTTCAAAACGCCGTCACGATCAGCTCCAAAATCATACGAGGCTTAAACTTGGACAGCGGTTAGCCTTAGGTGTCTGCTTTTCAACGGTATATTACTTGCTATTATCAGAGGTGTGTGCACTACGCAGTGAACGAAAACGTAAGCTCGGCTGAAAAACGTGTAGTTTCATTGATGCAAAGAAGAGGTGAGTACAACATTGCCTAGGGGACTCATAAGGAGTTGGGTCATTCTAGGAACTCAGAGAAGGTTGAGTCATAGGGGAGAAAGGCTAGAGAAGAATGGGAAACCACTTAGCTAGGTCAGCAAAGCCAACCACACTTGGATGTTCAGAGCTGTCCATCCAAAGTTGCCTTGAAAGCCTTTGTGCCCAACATCTCCATCTTCATCCCTGCCTCACTTAGGGTCTTGGTAGAGAGGAGGTTGGCACACAATCCAAGAACAAGGAGAACACACTTCAGCCCTACAAGCTTCCCATCCGCACCCATGAACATGGCTCTCCCCTCGCCACGCACGGGTACAACTTGGCCGGTGGCTGAAACGACGGTGGCTGCCTTTGATGGCCTAACTTCATCCAGTAGATCCTCTCGGTTGGTCATGGTCATGAAGGCTCCCGTGTCGATGACCCAATGGGAGGAGCAATGAAGAGCAACCTTGCTGGCCGGCACAACCATGTCGTCGGAGCGCGCCTCTCCTACATGGTAGAACATGCCGCCGTATCCGCCAGCACCTCCATCGCCCTCCTCACTGCCCACGCCTTCTCCCATAGCTTCATGAACACCCTTGGAGCCCTCAAGTGATGGCTGACAAGGCCTCCAACCGTCAGGTAACTTGCGGCACTTAAACCATGGGTGACCTTCCACATGGCAATACCAACATTTGTCGCCACACCGCTTGCCTCCCTTGTTGCCACGCTTCCCTCCCGAATGCTGCTCCCCTCCAGAGCCTTCCTTGGCCTTCCATTTCTTGCTGCCACGCCCTTTGAAGCCTTTCATGCCATAGGCAGAGCCTCCACCTTCACCAGCAGCGGCGGTCAGCTCCTTCCTCCGAAACTCCTCTTGAAGAACTTGCGCGCGAATCCACTCAAGGGACCACGAGTTCTTCATGCCATTAAGGTTGACCACCAAGGGCCCCCACGACTCCGGCAGCAGGGAGAGAGCCTTGTAGCACTTGATTTTTTCAGGGTAGTCCACACCAGCAGCAGAGAGCTTCACATAAAGGTCCCGGAGTTGATCGAACGCTCCTTGCACGGCATCACCCTCGTTGATCTTTACCGCATGGAGTTGTCGCTCGAGCACCACCACCAAAGCTTCGCTGCTGGGGGCATGGACATCCTTCAAAATCTTCCATGTCTTAGGACCACACTCAACTTCCTTGATGAGATGCTTGATGTGGTGCAGCTGGTTGGATGAGAGGCATTGGGAGAGAAGGAAGAATCCATCCTTGGACCGGCGATCCCATTCCTTGGTCGCTCTTTCGCTCGCAGGCCTCTTCAATTCTCCATCCATCACTTCAAGCAGCCCATAATGGTTGAAGAGGAGCTCCATCCTGAAGCTCCATGATGCCCAATCATCCCCAGAGAACTTCTCCAGGTTGAATGCCTTCACATCATCCTTAGCTGATGTTGAAACGGAAGCCATTGATGCAGATCCGCCTGCAACGCCTCTTCTCGCTTCCCCAGCACCTCTCACGCCACCACTACCACTAGGACCAGCTGGAGCAGAACTTTCAGCCTCCATATTAACCCACGAACAGAGTAGAACAGCTCTGATACCACTTGTTATAGTTTGCAGTCCACTTAGAGGTCGCGGATGCCCATGAAACCCCCTAAACAAAATCTGACGTCTTCAAACCGCCTCTGTTCAAAACGCCGTCACGATCAGCTCCAAAATCATACGAGGCTTAAACTTGGACAGCGGTTAGCCTTAGGTGTCTACTTTCCAACGGTATATTACTTGCTATTATCAGAGGTGTGTGCACTACGCAGTGAACGAAAACGTAAGCTCGGCTGAAAAACGTGTAGTTTCATTGATGCAAGGAAGAGGTGAGTACAACATTGCCTAGGGGACTCATAAGGAGTTGGGTCATCCTGGGAACTCAGAGAAGGTTGAGTCCTAGGGGAGAAAGGCTAGAGAAGAATGGGAAACCACTTAGCTAGGTCAGCAAAGCCAACCACACTTGGATGTTCAGAGCTGTACTCAAGGCTACCAATAGTGAGTCAAGCCAACATGAGTCAGCTTGTCTTCCTACTTGCACCCTCTTGCAAGCTGCTTCCAGGAAGACCACACTTGTCAAAAGGAGGGTTGTAGAGTCCCACTTGACCAACTGTACTTCTTGTCTCATTCTCTGTCCCTGCACCATTGGCGTGACAACAATGAAAGGGTGGCAAGGGAAATGCTGCCAACAGTGCACCATAACTACGGAACAGTGAATTTCGGCAGCTGTCACGCAATGCTCAGATGTTGGATCGTTCTGAAACTTGGTGACCACCTGTACAGCGCGGCAAAGGACTGCCAGACCGAATTTCAGACCAATCAGATCTCGGTAGACGAGTCAGCAGCCGAAATGGTGAACTCGGGTGTTACCAAAAAGGAGTAACACACACTTCCGGGATGCCATAAGTCTTGAAACATAAAATGTTGTCATGCCTTGGTAACTGCTTTAAAAACTCTGAAACTTTGAGGGTTTGAAGAAAACATGTTGAACAACCTCCCCACAAAATTCCAGAAGCTGAGCAGGCTTGTAGGCCGAATGGGAGTGCGATGAGCGTGCCACTGTAATGTGTTGGCACAACAGATCTGAGCTCGGGAGGAGTAGATCTGAGCTGGGGAGGAGTAGATCTGAGCTCGGGAGGAGTAGATCTGAGCTCGGGAGGAGTAGATCTGAGCTGGGGAGGAGTAGATCTGAGCTCGGGAGGAGTAGATCTGAGCTCGGGAGGAGTAGATCTGAGCTGGGGAGGAGTAGATCTGAGCTCGGGAGGAGTAGATCTGAGCTCGGGAGGAGTAGATCTGAGCTGGGGAGGAGTAGATCTGAGCTGGGGAGGAGGAGATCTGAGCTCGGGAGGAGGAGATGTGAGCTCCGGAGGAGTAGATCTGAGCTGGGGAGAAGTAGATCTGAGCTCGGGAGGAGTAGATCTGAGCTCGGGAGGAGTAGATCTGAGCTCGAGAGGAGTAGATCTGAGCTGGGGAGGAGTAGATCTGAGCTGGGGAGGAGTAGATCTGAGCTGGGGAGGAGTAGATCTGAGCTGGGGAGGAGTAGATCTGAGCTGGGGAGGAGTAGATCTGAGCTGGGGAGGAGTAGATCTGAGCTGGGGAGGAGTAGATCGGAGCTCGGGAGGAGGAGATGTGAGCTCGGGAGGAGTAGATCTGAGCTCGGGAGGAGAAGATCTTAGCTCGGGAGGAGAAGATCGGAGCTCGAGAGGGGTAGATCTGAGCTTGGGAGCACCGTAGTAGGACTACGTCTTAGGGACGGGGAGGAGAGTGTGGCCTAAGGACCGAGGGATCAAGGCGTGAGCCAATAGCTCATGATACCATGTTAGGAAGCTAGAATTGATACATTGAATAATGAGCCAAGAGGCTCTTTAGTACAAACAATGAGCAAGAGAGAGATGAGAGGAAAGCTTACCCTATTGGCCAATAAGTTGGCCAATGGGTGAGCTTGCTTGTGACCCAAGCAACCACAAATGTGTGTTGGTTGGGATTGGTTGAGTTAAGGACCAATCCCAACCAACCACAAAATGTGGTTGGAGGGTACACTAAGCAACCCCCCAATTTATGAATGTGCTACACTTCTAGCCTATGTATGTTGTATGAAATATGAAATTACAACACACACGTGACGGTCGCTGTTGAAGGGAGAGGGGCGCTGCGTGTGATGAGTCTGATTTTGAGTCGACTTAAAAACAGACTCGCCACTCACGCTTGACTCGAACCATCTGTGCATGCCCAAGAACACACCTGGCGGTCGCTGTTGAATGGAGAGGGGCGCTGATTCAGCTTGCCGTCTAGGACGAACGCTGCCAGCAGCTGTGGGTATGGTGAGAGGAGGGAAGTAGAGGGGAACATTGAAATGAATCAAGGGAGTTGAGTGGGCAACGGGAGGAGTTGAAGGGAGAGGGGCGCTGGGGCAGCTTGCCATCCAGAACGAATGCAGCCAGCAGCTGTGGGTATGGTGAGAGAAGTGAGGAGGAGAGGATTGAGAACAATAAGGAGAGGTGAGTGGGAAACGGGGGGGGATAGGGAAGAGGGGCGTCGCGGCAGCTTGCGGTCCAGAACGAATGCAACTTTTGAGGTGCCTCGAAAGGGGCGCCAGGGCAACTTGCGCTCCAGAACGAATGCAACGAGCAGCTGTGGGGTATGGTGCGGGGAGTGAGGTGTGGGGGAGGGAGGTTTGAGAGCATTCAAGTGGGTGAGTGGGCAATGCGAAGAGGTAGGGGAGTGGGGCGCTGGTTCAGCTTTCCAGCGTCCAGAACGAATGCTGCCAGTAGCTGCGGGTGTGGTGCAGGAAGTGAGGTGGGGGAGTATCGAGAGCATTCAAGAGAGGTGAGCGGGCAATGGGAGGAGATGAAGGGAGAGGGCCGCTGCTGCAGCTTGCCGTTCAGAACGAATGCATATGCTGACAGCAGCTGTGGGTGTGGTGTGGGGAGAGTATTGCGAGAGGAGGATAGTGAAGGAGGATGGAGGAGGAAGGCAGAGGTGGGGGGCAGAGGGAAGTGGGGGAGATGGGAGTGCGGAGAGGGAAGTGGGGGAGATGGGAGTGCGGAGAGGGAAGTGGGGAAGATGGGAGTGCGGAGAGGGAAGTGGGGGAGATGGGAGTGCGGAGAGGGAAGTGGGGGAGATGGGAGTGCGGAACGGAGATTTCGAATTTGGAGAAGAGAAGGGGTTGTTGAGTGGGCAATGTGCGGAACGAATGGAGGAGGATGGAAAGGGTGCGAGGAGGGAGCAAGAGGAGCAGAGATGTGATGGAGGAGGGTGGCGGGCACGGCAGGTGGGGCGGTGCGGGGAATGCTTGGGGCAACAAGCGTGATAGGTGAGGCACTGCAGCAATGCAGCAGCAGGTGTTGAGGAAGGCGGATGGGAGGGGATGGAAGAAGAGTATGAAGGGACGTATGGGTATGGGCAGTTAGGAGCAGGGACGAAGGGACATACGGGTAGGAGCATGAAGGGACGTATAGGTATGGGTATGGGCAGGCAGGCAGGCAGGGAAGGGGAAGGGCCAGGCAGGTGCACAGCACTCAGCATTGTGACGAGTGTTTTTTGAGAATTCTCAAAAAACATTTCAAGACCTCACCCACCCACACACTCCTCTGACTCACCAGCAGCTGATATGGGGAGAGCAGCGTCAGATCCAGTGAGGGTGGTGGGGGCAGGCAGGCACGAATGCCTTGCAGAGCAGCTGGTATGCAGTTATCAGTTATCAGTGCCAGATGAAGGGAGGAAGGTGTGAGCAGGCAGGTGCAGCACTGCACACATTGACATGCATCCCCACACCTTTCAATACCTCACCCACCCACACACTCCTCTGACTCACCCGCACGTATGCCTTGCAGAGCAGCTGATATGGGGAGAGCAGCGTCGGATCCAGTGAGGGTGGTGGGGGGCAGGCAGGTGCACCGCACACATTGACATGCATCGCCACCCCCCAATGCCTCACCTGCCCACACACTCCTCCCACTCACCCGCACGTATGCCTTGCATAGCAGCTGGTAGGCAGTTATCAGCGCCAGATCAAGGGAGCGAGGTCTGAGCAGGCAGGTGCAGCACTGCACACATTGACATGCATCCCCACCCCTTTCAATACCTCAAACACCCACACACTCCTCTGACTCACCCGCACGTATGCCTTGCATAGCAGCTGGTATGCAGTTATCAGCGCCAGATCAAGGGAAGGCGGCGGGGGCGAGGGGGGAGGGACTGCTGCTGGCTTGCGCCGAGACTTGCGGGAGGAAGGGGCTGCCGTGGGGTTGAAGGGGCAAGGGGATGGAGAGGGGTCAGATGGGATGGGGGGTTCGCAAGCAGGGAAGGGTTTGTGAGAATGCCATGCGGGATGGATGAATAGTGAACCACTCTAGTGTCCATAAATACTAGGAGAGATTATTTGAGGCGCCTAAAAAACATAACACTCTAGCGTCTGAAAACTGGGAGCGAATGGGTGTACATTGGGGAGAAAAAGGAGAGGAAAATCGGTTGAGAGCTTGGCAGAATCGTATTCCCTCCCCCCCCCTAAGCACCACCACCACCATTGGGGTTCCAATAGCCCAACGGTAAATTTGGGATTCATGAATACTCTTAAGAACCAAATCCGTTTGGGTGGCCATAATCACCTTATGAGGCGCCTCACAGGTTTCGTAGAATGCTCTCAAGAACCAACCATATTCGGATGCCCATCATCAGACATTCCAACTTTTGAGGACTGAAGCAATCTGTAAAACGTTGCATCTAGTTTTGAGGCGCCTCAAAACTGATTAGCCAACTCAACCTTTGAGAATTGAAAGAATCTGTCCAACGTTGCACCTCAGCCCCAAAGTAGGCCCAACCCTAGTCGGCAGTTGTACACCTGAACGAAGCTTGGGTTCCCATTTGTAACCGGCAGTAGAAGTGTTTTTCTAGGAGTGTGGCACATACGAGAGACGAAGCATGGCAGAGGCCCACCTGTGAAAGGTTTTTGCAAGGACGCTTCTCGGGCAGAAACGTTGTGGATGAGTGTGGCCAGCACACTGTCGAGATACCTGCTCGTGCATGCATGGCGACGGGGTATGTATGTGCAAGCGTTAATAGGATTACTCGTGCTGTGTGCTGTGTGCTGTGTGCCGTGTGCCGTGTGCCGTGTGCCGTGTGCTGTGTGCTGTGTGCTGTGCTGTGTGCTGTGTGCCGTGTGCTGTGTGCCGTGTGCCGTGTGCCGTGTGCTGTGTGCTGTGCTGTGTGCTGTGTGCTGTGTGCCGTGTGCCGTGTGCCGTGTGCTGTGTGCTGTGCTGTGTGCTGTGTGCTGTGTGCTGTGCTGTGTGCCGTGTGCCGTGTGCCGTGTGCTGTGTGCTGTGCTGTGTGCTGTGTGCTGTGTGCCGTGTGCCGTGTGCGGTGTGCCGTGTGCTGTGTGCTGTGTGCTGTGCTTTGTGCTGTGTGCCGTGTGCCGTGTGCGGTGTGCCGTGTGCTGTGCTGTGTGCCGTGTGCTGTGTGCCGTGTGTCGTGTGCGGTGTGCCGTGTGCTGTGCTGTGTGCCGTGTGCTGTGTGCTGTGTGCCGTGTGAAGCTGTTCTGTGAACGTGTAGGACAGGCCAGAAGGCAGAGAGGAACTCAGAGGGCGCATAGAGACGCATGGAGAAACCAAGGGGCGTGTGAGAGGCATAGCATGTGGGTGGGAGGCATGGCATGTGGGTGGGAGGCATGGTGTGTGGGTGGGAGGCATGGTGTGGCATGGTGTGACGTGGTGTGGCGTGGTGTGGCATGTTATGATGGACGGACCAGAAGGCAGAGAGGAACTCGGAGGGCCCATAGAGGCGAGTGGAGAAGCCAAGGGATGTGGGAGGCACGGCGTGTGGCAGCCGTGTTGTGGCATGACATGGGGCATGGCATGGTGTGATGGGGCAGGCAGGACTGACCAGAAGGCGGAAAGGAACTCAGAGGGCGCGTAGAGGCGCGTGGAGAAGCCAAGCTGCAGATAGCGAATGACGATGCGACATGTGTACTCCACCACCCAGCTCGTTGCCACGCTCTCCCTCCACCACCCCTGATGGCAGCGCGGTGTTGAGAGGGAGGGAGGAAGGGAGGAAGGGTGCGCACGGGGAGGGGAAGGAAAGGGATGAATGGTGTGTGTGTGTACCATAACATACACAGCCCCAACACGTGTACTCCTCCACCCAGCTGGTTGACACACTCTCCCTCCACCACCCCTGCTGTCAAGAGGTGGGGAGCGGAAGGGAGGGAGCGCACAGGGAGGAGAAGAAAAGGGAAGTGTCTTTCGAACCGCCCTTCACCACCCAGCTGGTGGCCACTCTCCCTCCACCACCCCTGCTTGGAGCTCAGCGTTGAGTTAAGGGGAGTTGGGTGGAAGGCGGAAAGAGGGGAGGGGGAGAAGAGTGCACAGAGAAGGGAAGTAGAGGGTTGGTACAAAGTTACTGCATTTCCCCGTCCGTCACGCACATGCCCCGCCTTGCATGAATTGATGGCCGAGCAACATGAGATGCTGCTCGTGAACGGTGTGTGCCACCCAAGGGCCAAGGGCCAAGGGCCAAGGGCCAAGGGCCAAGGGCCATGCATCACATGAGATTTCAACATACTCGGAATCTACCTGCACACATACTCAAGACATCAACAGCCACACCACCTAAGAAATCACCTGGAAAACTGCCTGCACAATCACCTGCAAAAGCACCTGGGGAATCACCTGAGCGAAATTAGTGGTGGTGTAGCGCTCGACGGCATCACATGCGTCCACGTCGCCAGCCTAAAAGGGGCGACGGGCAGGAAAGGTGTTGAGGGGAATCATGTTGAAACACACACGAATTTCTGCACCACCGCAAGACACAGCGGGGTGAGATACAGCACATGGCATCAGAGAGACGACATAGGGGAGAGAGAAAAGCGACAGGCAGAAGGGGAGAGAGAAAAGCGACAGGCAGAAGGGGAGAGAGAAAAGCGACAGGCAGAAGGGGAGAGAGAAAAGCGACAGGCAGAAGGGGAGAGAGAAAAGCGACAGGCAGAAGGAGGAGCAGCAGCAGGCAGGGGGGAAGTAGGGGGGACGTACGAACGAGAGAAGATGGTTCCAGTCAGAAGGAGGCAGATGGGCAGGGAAAGGAGCGGGCAGGGGGAGCAAGAGGCAGGGGGAAGGCGGGAATGGCGCACGAGAGACAGGAGATGGCTCCAGTCGGGCAGCAGCTTGGCCAGCATTCGCCTCTCCCTTGCTCCGTTGCTGCACTGCGCCCTCAGCACCGCCTGTACCGCCTGGTTGAGAGAGAGAGAGGGATGGGAGGCAAAATGGGAGACAGGAGGGGACGAGGGGAGCGTGGGGATAAGATGAAGATCTGGCCAGCATGCGCCTCTCCCTCGCCCCGTTGCTGCACTGCGCCCTCAGCACCGCCTGCACTGCCTGCTTTGCGTGCAACATGGGATGGGAGGCAAGTGAGACGGGAGGCAGGTGAGGACGAGGTGAAGACTTGTTTTGAGTCGACTCAAAGGCAGGTGAGGACAAGGTGAAGACTTGGCCAGCATGCGGCTCTCCCTCGCCCCGTTGCTGCACTGCGCCATCAGCACTGCCTGGTTGAGAGAGACACAGGGATGGCAGGAAGGCAGATGGGATGAGAGGGCAGGGGATTGGATACTGGCGGCACAGGGAGGAGGGGAGGAGGGTGAAGATTGGCGGCAAGGAAACAAAAATGAGGTGAGTACGTACAGCAAATGATAAAGGCAGAAGCCCAAATGTGACTGCAATCCTAAACAGCAGTGCAGCAGTTGAGCAGCACAGCACGCCTACCTTCAACTCCAACCAGCACGGGCACCCTACATTCCCTTTCCGCTCATGCCTTCCCTCTCTCCGCCCGCCCGTTCTCCGACTCCGCCCTCACATCCCCCCGTCCCACTTACATGCGACGCCTTCTTGACAAATTTCCCTAAAGCCGCACTGCTGCCTCCATCCCCACCACCAACACCCCCACCACCGCCAGCACCACCTGCAGCAGGTCCAGGCGGGGGCAGCAGGGCAGGCGGCAGGTGCAGCGAATGCAGGATGACGTCTGTGGGGTCGTGGCTGAGAATGAGACCTTCTCGGAGTAGCAGCAGCTGGTGGGGGGAAGGTGGGGCAGGGGAGAGGAAGGGAGGGCAGGGGAGAGGAAGGGAGGGCAGGGGAGAGGAAGGGAGGGGAGGGGAGAGGAAGGGAGGGGAGGGGAGATGGAGACACATGGTGCAGCGAGTGCATGACGACATGTGTGGGGTTGTGGCCGAGAATTAGACCACCTCGCAGCAGCAGCAGCTGGTGGGGGGAGAGGGGAGTGGAGGGGTGGGAGGGGGGAATGGTGGGGAGGGGGAGGGGACGGAAGGAAAGGTGCAAGGTGCAGCGAGTGCTTTAGGATGGCTGTGGGGTCGTGGCCGAGAATGAGACCATCCCGGAGCAGCAGCAGCTGATGGGGGGAGTGGAAGGGGAAGGGAGGCAAGGGAACAGGAGGGGAGGGGACGCCATTGAAAGGGAGAGGAGAGTCGGAAGGTGCAGCGGGTGCAGGAGAACGTATGTCAGGTCGTGGCCGAGAATGAGACTGTCTTGGAGTAGCAGCAGATGATGGGGGAAGAAGAGGGGAGAGGGGCGGACGAGAGGTGGAGGAGGTAGAAAGGGGACTGGCGCCAGAAGGAACGCAGCGCACCGTACAGAGGACACACACGCACCTGCACTGCACGCATGCAGCCATCACACACTCATATCTGCAGTGCAGCACGGGCGACGGGGCCGGGGTTGAGGGCGCGGAAGTGGGCAAGACACACTGCCACACACAGAGCACACACACCCACCTGCACTGTACACATCCAACCACAAATACCTGCACATACACACATGCAGCCACCACACACACACCTGCACATACACACATGCAGCCACCACACACACACCTGCACATACACACATGCAGCCACCACACACACACCTGCAGTGCCGCGCGGGCGACGGGGCCCGGGTTGAGGGCGCGGAAGTGGGCGAGTTACACTGCCCCATACAGAGCACAGCATACACATACAGCCAACGCACCTGCAGCACGACTGCACATTTGTAGCGCCAGCACCGGCAGAACCACCAGTGCCACCAGCCATGAAACCTACCTGCAGTGCAGTGCGAGCGACAGGGCCGGCGGGGTTGAGGGCGCGGAAGTGGGCGAGGAACACCGCTCCATACCATACAAGACACACATAGGCAGGACGTCACCTGCAGTGTCAGCACACACACATCTGCACACCTGCAGCAAACACACCTGCGCACATCCAGCCATCGTACCTGCAGCGCAGCACGGGCGACGGGGCCGGGGTTGAGGGCGCGGAAGTGAGCGAGTTACAATGCCCGCATACAGAGCACACCTAGCCAGCACACCCGCACACCTGCATGCATCCAACCCACCTGCAGGGCAGCGCGGGGGACGGGGCCGGGGTTGAGGGTGTGGAAGTGGGCTAGGAAGCGCAAGAGCTCCAGCAGATCGGGACACACCACCGCCCCATACAGAGCACACACACCCACCTGCACTGCACACGTGCAGCCATCGCACCTGCAGCAAACGCACCTGCAGCCATCGCACCTGCAGCAAACGCACCTGCAGCAAATGCACCTGCAGCAAACGCACCTGCAGCAAACGCACCTGCAGCAAACGCACCTGCAGCAAACGCACCTGCAGCAAACGCACCTACACACCTGCAGGGCAGCGCGGGCGACGGGGCCCGGGTTGAGGGCGCGGAAGTGGGCGAGGAAGCGCGAGAGCTCCAGCAGATCGGGCGGTGAGGTGGATGGCAGATGGCAGATGAAAGTGAGGTGGGTCAATAGACGAGAGAAGTGGTCCAATGCCTGGGATTGATGGGGGGGGAAGGGAGGTTGCAAAGGGCAGCGAGGGGGATGGGAGGGCAGCGAGGGGGATAGGACGGCGCGGAAGTGGGCGAGGAGGCGAGAGAACTCCAGCAGGTTGGAGAGGCGAGGTGGATGGCAGGTGGCAGATGAAGGCGAGATGGGTTAGCAGGCGAAAGAAATGATCCAATGCCTGGGAAGGGGGTGCGGGAAAGAGCGGCGGGGAGGGTAGGGAGAGGGAAACGGCACCAGAAGAGGAGGGGAGGAAGCTCAAGAGTGCCAGCAGGTTGGGCTGTGAGGTGGATGGCAGGTGACGGCAAGGTGGGTTAGCAGATGAGAGAAATGGTCCAATGCCTGAGGGAGAGGAAGGGGGGTCGAGGAAGGAGGGTGGAGGGGAAAGGAGGTGAGGTGGATGGCAGGTGGCAGATGAAGGCGAGATGAGCCAACAGGCGTAAAGGAGTGGGGGGGAGGGGGGCGGTGAGGGTGGGTAGGGAGAGGGGAGGAGCGAGGGAAGCAGAAGCAGATATGGAGTAGAGGAGGAGCAGGTGTCACAGGAAGAGGTGGAGTGGCGGGGTAAAAGGGGGGCACGGGGAGGGGAAGGGTCGGAACGGGGGGACTGGGAGCAGCAGGGGAGCAAGGAGGCGAGAATACGAGAGGAGGAGGAGGAGCAGGTAGTTTGGGTTGATTTCTAACAGTCAACGTAAGTAAGTGATTGTTACAGAGATCCTGGGTGTGAAGTGAAGAGACGCAGAAAGCATGGGTTGTGAGTGCATTGGTTGGTACCAACGACCTCAGTAAGTGCATTTGCACTGCCTCGCTTGCAACCACCCCAGTAACCCCTCCCATCACTGACACGTCAGCAACTGTCTCACTCACCTCGTGCCACGTCAGCAGGTGCGTGGGACGGGGCGGCGTGGGCGGCAGCAGATGGGTGTTGATGGCCGGACACATGCCCGGCGCCGCCCTTCCTGACGCCGTCTGCTGCCCCCCACTCCCCCCCTCCGCCTGCTCCCCCTCTCCCCTTTCTCCTCCCTCTCCCCCAGCAGCGGGGGCAGTCGGGGGCAAGGAGATCTTGAGTTTGTGCAGGGCGGTCTGGGCGAGCTGAATCTTGAGCGCACAGGCGGGCAGATGGGCGGGCAGGCGGGCCGTTTGGAGTGCTGAGAGCGCGTCATAGAGAGCCTGGAAAAGGGATGGGTGGGGTAGGAGGGCAGGAGCAGAAGGGGCGGGAAGGGGAGAGGTAGGGGGGAGGGGTGGGAGGAGGAGACGGGTGTGTAGACAGGGAGGTCTAGAGTTTGTGCAGGGCAGGGGAGCCGAGCTGTAACCTTCAGCGCGCAGGCGGGCAGGTGGGCGGGCAGGTGGGCAGTTTGAAGCGCTGGGATGAGAGCGCGTTATAGAGAGCCTGGCGGGCGAGAGGGCGGAGAAGAAGGGGGGGAGAGAGGGGGGGAGGGGAGGTGGTTGTGGAAAGGAGGGGTGTCAAGGGGGAAGAGGTCTTGCAAGGGTTCTGTATGGCAAAAGAGGAACCACAAGCTGACTGACTTTTGCGATGAACGCTACCACACCCCCATGCGATGAACGCTACCACACCCCCATGTGCACATTCCATACGTGCTGGGGCATGTCTCTCCATTCCAGGTGGCGTGTGCAGAACAACCCGCCAGCAACGTGATGCTGCTAGTGAATCACACGCTAAACACACACCCGCAGGCTTGTAGGCGGCATGAGAGCAGATCAGAGCAGAGCAGAAGCAGAGAGAAGCGGGGCAGAGCATGGCAGGGAGGGAGAAGAGGGCGGTAGATAGATACCAGATACCAGCCGGAATCTCATGCTGGCCACAAGGGCGGTGAGGAGAGGGTTTTTTTGGGAATTCAGTGACTTTTGATAGAAACATGCAAACACCCTGCAAGTACAAGAAGCGGAGCAGAGCCGGGCATGGCAGGGAGGAGGGAGCAATAGGTACCAGTCGGAATTGCATGCGGGCCGTTAGCGCGGAGAGGAGAGCAGGGTCCAGCCCAGAGAGCACAGGGTCGCCCTGCTGCTGCTCCTTGCGCCCTGATGCTGGTGCCTTCCCTGGTAGTGCATGTGGGCATGGGCATGGGCATGGGCATGGGCATGGGGTGGAATGAGGGAACAGGCGAGAGGCAGGCAAGCCATGCGCATGAGGGTAGTACGGAGAGCAGGGTCCAGCCCAGAGAGCTTTTGAGAATTCTCAAAAACTCCCTGCAAAGCCATGCGCATGAGGGTAGTACGGAGAGCAGGGTCCAGCCCAGAGAGCTTTCGAGAATTCTCAAAAACTCCCTGCAAAGCCATGCGCATGAGGGTAGTACGGAGAGCAGGGTCCAGCCCAGAGAGCTTTTGAGAATTCTCAAAAACTCCCTGCAAAGCCATGCGCATGAGGGTAGTACGGAGAGCAGGGTCCAGCCCAGAGAGCTTTCGAGAAATCTCAAAAACTCCCTGCAAAGCCATGCGCATGAGGGTAGTACGGAGAGCAGGGTCCAGCCCAGAGAGCTTTTGAGAATTCTCAAAAACTCCCTGCAAAGCCATGCGCATGAGGGTAGTACGGAGAGCAGGGTCCAGCCCAGAGAGCTTTTGAGAATTCTCAAAAACTCCCTGCAAAGCCATGCGCATGAGGGTAGTACGGAGAGCAGGGTCCAGCCCAGAGAGCTTTTGAGAATTCTCAAAAACTCCCTGCAAAGCCATGCGCATGAGGGTAGTACGGAGAGCAGGGTCCAGCCCAGAGAGCTTTTGAGAATTCTCAAAAACTCCCTGCAAAGCCATGCGCATGAGGGTAGTACGGAGAGCAGGGTCCAGCCCAGAGAGCTTTTGAGAATTCTCAAAAACTCCCTGCAAAGCCATGCGCATGAGGGTAGTACGGAGAGCAGGGTCCAGCCCAGAGAGCTTCTGAGAATTCTCAAAAACTCCCTGCAAAGCCATGCGCATGAGGGTAGTACGGAGAGCAGGGTCCAGCCCAGAGAGCTTTTGAGAATTCTCAAAAACTCCCTGCAAAGCCATGCGCATGAGGGTAGTACGGAGAGCAGGGTCCAGCCCAGAGAGCTTTTGAGAATTCTCAAAAACTCCCTGCAAAGCCATGCGCATGAGGGTAGTACGGAGAGCAGGGTCCAGCCCAGAGAGCTTTTGAGAATTCTCAAAAACTCCCTGCAAAGCCATGCGCATGAGGGTAGTACGGAGAGCAGGGCCCAGCCCAGAGAGCACAGAGTCGCCCTGCTGCTGCTTTTCACGCACTGCCTCTGCTTCCTTGCCTGGTGGACATGGATGTGTGATGGGCGTGTGGGGTGTGTGGAGTGGGAAACTTTTGAGTCGACTCAAAAGTCACCTCCAGACAGCACAGGGTCGCTCTGCCCTGCTGCTCTGCATGCACTGTCTCTGCTTCCTTGCCTGGTGGGCATGGATGTGTGATGGGTGTGTGGGGTGTGTGGAGGGGGAAATGCAGGCGGATGTCTTTTGAGGCGCCTCAAAATGCACCTCACTACACATGGGTGTGTGGGGTGTGTGGAGCGGTAAACGCAGGCGGATGGCATGGGAGTGAAGATGCGAGTGCTGATGATCGTGAAAAAGGCAAAGGCAACAGGTAGCGGGGAAGGTGACACGCGTGCCAACAGGTAGCGGGGAAGGGGACAGGCGTGCCAACAGGTAGCGGGGAAGGTGACAGGCGTGGTAGCGGGGAAGGTGACAGGCGTGCCAACAGGTAGCGGGGAAGGGGACAGGCGTGCCAACAGGTAGCGGGGAAGGGGACAGGCGTGCCAACAGGTAGCGGGGAAGGGGACAGGTGTGCCAACAGGTAGCGGGGAAGAGGGACGGCGTGACACTCCTCTACACCGGAAGTTCCCACCCCCCCCACTCCACACAGCTCCCCCCCGCCACACCTCTCCTCGTCCCCACCTGCTCCATTCGCCACTGCCTTCCAGCCCCACCAGCAGTGCCCTGCGCGGCAATGCTGCTGCCTCCCCCTCGCTGGCCATTCCCACTCCCACCCCTGACCCCTCTCCACCTGTCCCGTCCCCTTGGCGCTCCCCCACCTTCCCTGCCTCCTCGCCTCCCCAGCACTGCCGCCTTCCCACTCGCCCCTTCGCCCTCTTCCTGATCCCCGCACCTGTCCGCCCCTCATACCTGCTCCTTGCCCCTCCAGCCCCGCCAGAAGTGCTCTGAGTGGCGCCACTGCAGCCTCGTCCATTCGCCCATTACCCCTCTCACACCTGTCCCCTCTCCCCTGCCCCCCCCCCTATTTGTTACCCCCCCCCACCTGCTCCTTGCCCCTCCAGCCCCGCCAGAAGTGCCCTGAGCGGCGCCACTTATGCCTCGCTCACTTGTTCCCCCTCCCCTGCGCACGCCCCCCTCCCACCCACCCCATTCCCACCTGCCCCTTGTCCTTCCAGCCCGGCCAGCAGCGCTCTGAGTGGAGCCACTGCCTCTGGATGGGCGAGTGTGACCTCTCCTCTTACTCACCTGCCCCTTTCCCCGTGTCCCCTCCCCACTGCCCTCCAGCCCCGCCAGCAGCACTCTCAGCGGCGCCACTGCCGCCACACCCACCCGCCCCTCCAGAGGTCTTTCAGGTAGGTGTGTAACCTCTCCTCTCCTCTCACTCACCTTTTCCCTTCCGAGCGTCCCCTTCCCCACTGCCTTCAATCCCCGCCAGCAGCGCTCTCAGCGGCGCCACTGCTGCCTCCCCCACTCGCCCCTCCAGAGGCAGGCCGCCTGCTGACGTCACAAAGTCCTCCTCCTGTGAGAGGATGGGGAAGGGATGGGGGAGGGAAGAGGTTGGGGGAGGGGGAGTAGGTGGGGGTGAAAAATACGCTCGTCCCTCCAGAGGCAGGCCCCCCACTGGGAGTGTAAGAAGAGGATGGCGAGGGTAAAAGGAGGGTGAGGGTAAAAGGAGGGCGAGGAAAGACTAAGAATGGGAGAAAAAGGGGGCTTCAGAGGAGGAGGAGGGCGAGAGGGATGGAGAGCCGACATATTGCATGCATTATAAGAGTGCATTATCACGTCCCGTCCCAGTGACGCAAAACTTAGGGAGAAGAGAGGCCATGAGAAGAGAGGCCATGAGAAGAGAGGCCATGAGAAGAGAGGCCATGAGAAGAGAGGCCATGAGAAGAGAGACCAAATGGCATATGATATCATGCTCTGCAATCACTCCTCTCACCTCGCGTTGGTGCGTCCAGCAGGCTGCAGATCGCACGCTGTTCACACAGGCGAGGGTGGCTGACAGCAGCGCCAGCAGTAGTGGTGACGAGGAGAGGGAGGGGGAGGGGGAGGGGGAGGGGGAGGGGGAGGGGGAGGGGGAGGGGGAGGGGGAGGGGGAGGGGGAGGGGGAGGGGGAGGGGGAGGGGGAGGGGGAGGGGGAGGGGGAGGCCGTGCAGTTGGAAGGGGCGGCGAGCGGGGGCAGCAGCAGGTAGGCGCAGGTGAATACGGTCTGGGGCAGGCTGTGCCCGCTGTGCCATGTCGCCTGTGGGGAGGGGATGGAGGGGAGAGGAAGCAACAGGGGGCGAGAGAGGAAGGCATGAGGCAGTGGGGAATGTGGCGCACAAAGGGCTTGAAGGGGCGGCAACAGCAGGTAGGCGCAGGTGAATACGGTTTGGGGTAGGCTGTGCCCGCTGTGCCACGTGGCCTGGGAGGGGGGGGAGAGGGGGAGGGATAAGGCAGAGGGGAGTGCGGGCGAACAGGGGGCGCATGGAGTGGCGAGAGGGGCTAAAACGCCACACAGTAGGAGTGGCGAGAGGGGCTGAACCGCCACACAGTGGGAGTGGCGAGGATTGGAAGAAGGAAGCGGGGAAGGAGACGGCACGGGGGGGCACCAGCAGCAGAGCGTTTTGCAGGGCAGCAGGACAATTGCAAACAGCAGCACACCTCAGCACACAGCAGTGCGTTACAAAGGTCCACGATGCCATGGGCCGACAGAGGACAGGAGCGGGAGGGGGCTACAAGAACAACAACACCGCACCACACCACACCTCACCGCACCTCACCGCACCTCACCGACCTCACCACACCACATAGCCCACCTCACCGCACAGAACCACACAGCACCGTTCCTCAGCGCATCACAGAGGTTCACGATGCGGTGCGCTGGCAGAGGCAGCAGCCCTCGCTCCACCGCCTCCCCCACACTCTCCACCTCCCCCCTCGCTGGCAGAGGGCGGGAAGGAGGAGAGGGAGCCAGCACCGCACCACAGCAGCACACCTCACCTCACTGCACCGCATAGCACCGCACAGCACCATACCTCAGCACACAGCAGCGCGTCACAGAGGTCCACAATGCGGTGCACTGGCAGAGGCAGCGGCAGCAGCCCTCGCTCCATCGCCTCCCCCACACTCTCCACCTCCCCCCTCGCCCCCTCTGCGCCCCCTCCTTCCCCCCCGATTTCCCCCCCGATTTCCCCCCCGCCTCCCCCCTTGGCCCCCCCCATGCCTGCGTCCATCTTGGGATGCATCATCTGCGCAGGAGGAAGGGGGGATGTGGGGGGTCCGGGCAGGGGGAGCAGGGAGGGTTGAGGAGAAAGCAAGACGGACTCACGTGTCCCCCCATGCCCCCATCCATCTTGGGATGCACCATCTGGAAGGGGGGAAATGCACCATCTGGAAGGGGGGAAATGCACCATCTGGAAGGGGGGAAATGCACCATCTGGAAGGGGGGAAATGCACCATCTGGAAGGGGGGAAATGCACCATCTGGAAGGGGGGAAATGCACCATCTGGAAGGGGGGAAATGCACCATCTGGAAGGGGGGAAATGCACCATCTGGAAGGGGGGAAATGCACCATCTGGAAGGGGGGAAATGCACCATCTGGAAGGGGGGAAATGCACCATCTGGAAGGGGGGAAATGCACCATCTGGAAGGGGGGAAATGCACCATCTGGAAGGGGGGAAATGCACCATCTGGAAGGGGGGAAATGCACCATCTGGAAGGGGGGAAATGCACCATCTGGAAGGGGGGAAATGCACCATCTGGAAGGGGGGAAATGCACCATCTGGAAGGGGGGAAATGCACCATCTGGAAGGGGGGAAATGCACCATCTGGAAGGGGGGAAATGCACCATCTGGAAGGGGGGAAATGCACCATCTGGAAGGGGGGAAATGCACCATCTGGAAGGGGGGAAATGCACCATCTGGAAGGGGGGAAATGCACCATCTGGAAGGGGGGAAATGCACCATCTGGAAGGGGGGAAATGCACCATCTGGAAGGGGGGAAATGCACCATCTGGAAGGGGGGAAATGCACCATCTGGAAGGGGGGAAATGCACCATCTGGAAGGGGGGAAATGCACCATCTGGAAGGGGGGAAATGCACCATCTGGAAGGGGGGAAATGCACCATCTGAAAGGGGGGAAATGCACCATCTGGAAGGGGGGAAAGGCACCATCTGGAAGGGGGGAAATGCACCATCTGGAAGGGGGGAAAGGCACCATCTGGAAGGGGGGAAATGCACCATCTGGAAGGGGGGAAATGCACCATCTGGAAGGGGGGAAAGGCACCATCTGGAAGGGGGGAAATGCACCATCTGGAAGGGGGGAAATGCACCATCTGGAAGGGGGGAAATGCACCATCTGGAAGGGGGGAAATGCACCATCTGGAAGGGGGGAAATGCACCATCTGGAAGGGGGGAAATGCACCATCTGGAAGGGGGGAAATGCACCATCTGGAAGGGGGGAAAGCGTGCAGGAGGGACGGGGTTTCACAGCACAGTCATGCCCGCATCGGCATCCATCTTGGGATGCATCATCCTCATGGGGCGGGGAGAAGGGGGGAAGGGGCAGGCAGGAGGGGCAGGGAGGGATGCGAGGGGTGCGAGGGGTTCGGAGGGATTGGGAGGGTTGTGAGGGGTTGGGAGGGGTGGAGTGGTTAGATATGAGCATCGAACCGAACTTAAGTTCGGTTCGAGATGTTCGGTTCGAGTTATCTCGAACCAAACCTTTTTTTCTGCGAAAAATGTTTGAGCAAACCTCGAAAAAGTTCGCGCGAGCAGTTCGCGCAAACTTTTCCGGTTCGAGATTCGAACCTCAAACCGAACAGGTTCGAGGTTCGAAAGGGTCAAATTCGAACCGCGAGGGGTTCGAAGTAAATTAACTTCAGAAAGAATACGCTCGCGACTTTCCCGTCAAAAACGGGAAAGTCGTACGCTGGCTGCCAGTTGAGGCAGCCAACCCTAATCTCGTAGCAGAGTAGATATCGAGATCTAGATCAACTCTAGCTCACCCAATGCCTCCCTCCCTACTACCGTTCTTTCACCTCAGCTCCAACTTAGGATGCGTCAAACCTTAACTTGTTTGTTAGGTTTGACAGTTTAGTGATGCTGTCCATAAACCATTAGACATGCATGTGTTGTAGAATAACATGTGCATCATTTTAAACCTCAAACATGAAAAGGTTCGAGTTCGCTCAAACCTTGGAAGGTTTGAGCAAACCTTTAGGGTTCGCCGTTGTATACTCAAATCTCAAACCTTAAAAGTCTGAAAAAGGTTCGAGCAAACCTGTTCGGTTCGGTTCGGTTCGACCAACATGCAAGGTTCGAAAAGGTTTGCGCAAACATGTTTGAGTTGGGTTCGGGCTCATATCTAGGCGTGGTAAGCAGTGAGTACAGGGCAGGGCGGATGAGAAGGAAATCAAATTTGGAGAGCTGGCGAGGAGGAAGTCGGATGGATGAGGGAGAGAAAGGCAGGCGGCGAGAGGCCACGAGGAATGGGCAAAGTGGGAATGGTGCGAGGGAGGGGAGGGGAGAGACGAGCAGCACACACGCGAGGGCGACGGAAGAAGGGGAAACGGGCGCACAGTGGGGCGGAGAGGCCGCAGTGGGGGAGGCGGAGTGTGGGGAAGTGGGTGCCGGGAGCGTGCAGAGGGGGGGGCGTGTGCAAAGGGAGGGGGCGGGGCGGTGGGGTGCACCTGGAGGGCGGCCATGGCTTCGAAGAGACTGAAAGATTCGCCGTGCAGTAACTCGCCCGACTGCAGCTCTGATGGTGACGAGAGGGGGGTAGCGGGAGAGGGGAGGGAGGGAGGGAAGGAGGAGAGGAGGGAAAGGGGGCGAGATTGGGGAGATAAGAGACTGAAGGACTCGCCGTGCAGTAACTCGCCGACTGCAGCTCTGATGGTGACGAGAGGGGGAAGGGGGATGGGAAGAATGGCCAGCGGGAAGGAAGGAGGGGGCTCTTGAGCTGACTCAAAAAAGGAGACTGCGGTGCGACTGCGCAAGCACACCAAGATGCGATGGGGAAATGCCATGCAAGCACACCAGGATGCGATGCGGAAATGCCATGCAAGCCCACCAAGATGCGATGCGGAAATGCCATGCAAGCACACCACCAAGATGCGATGCGGAAATGCCATGCAAGCACACCAAGATGCGATGCGGAAATGCCATGCAAGCAGCGTGAGCGTGGTGGGAGGCCATGATGCGGGACGACTTCTGAGGCGCCTCAAAAGGCGTGGTGACATGCCATGATGCGGGACGGACCCCCGGCTGCGCTGCCTCGTCCCTTCCGCCGAGCTGTGGCAGCAATTCAAGGCTCGCCCGCGCAAGGCTAATCCGCGCCGGGCTAATCCGCGCAGGGGTACTCCGCGCAGAGCTAATCCGCGCAAGTCCCGCGCGCAATGCGATCAAGATCTCACCGGCGCAAGCGGCGGCGAGCGCGGCATCGGCGTCGCGCCACACCGTCTGATCGCCCGCGCGCTCCGCTCCCAGCGGCCGAGCGACGTCGTCCAGCGCCATTGCGACCGACTCGTGCGACGGGCGTCGCACGAAACGGCTGCACGGCTACCCCGATAAGCTGCGAGCGACGAGCGACGTGCGCCAAACGACGACCGACGAGCGACAAGCCGATGTCGGATGATAGCGATGGGACACGCGTCAGGTTTCTCGTGACTTGACCTAGTTTGAGGTGGCTCAAATGTCGAGAGTTGTCTAATGTCCTCTCACCTCATTACGCGTTTCAGCTGCGCGACGCGGTCGTGCTGCGCTTGGAACGTTCCGCCAAGATGGATGGATCTCGTCATGTGATCCGTGGTGGTGAGCATGTTCGAATGTTTTTCGAGAGCGTGTACATATTGCTCGTTACTTAGAAGAGGTCACGAATTTGATCTCGAAGAACGTACAAGAAACGTACGAGCTGGACTCCCCCCCCCCCCCCCCCCCACCCAGCTCCACAACCCAACCAATCGAGAGTGTGAGTTGACTGTTGCACACAATATTTAAAACGTATCTACGTATTCAGGTGACACGTGGGCCGCGCCGAAACTCGTTGAGAGCAAAGGAACCGAAATGCACCGCAGAAGTGGAGCCTACAGACAGCACAACCCCATGCATTTTTGTTGCTTCGCTTTTGGATGCGCCTGGATTCGATACAAAACAATTATCAAATTCCTACATAGAGAGCCATACGTTAGGATAGGAGGCGTTCTTACGTTGCCATTTCAAGATTCTCCCGCGCCTATCACTCCGCAACAACCGCGCCCCCACACGCTCGTCGTGCGTCACGAGCGCCGCGCGTCGTCGGCCGACGCCCCCCCGTAACCGCAGGTGCCTGTATTGTCGGCTCGCGTTCTTTGCCGCCTCGCGTGTTCCGACAATCCCTTCCGCCGCTTCCCCCGCCGCTTGCGATTGGTCCGCCCTTCCGTCCATTCCGCCGCCGCTTCCCGCCGCTGCGCCGCCGGGCAGAGTCAAGGGACCAGCGGCGCAACACTCAGGTGCGCTCTTCCCCAGCTCCCCCCACACACTCAGGTGCGCTCTTCCCCAGCCCCCCCCACACACTCAGGTGCGCTCTTCCCCAGCTCCCCCCACACACTCAGGTGCGCTCTTCCCCAGCCCCCCCCACACACTCAGGTGCGCTCTTCCCCAGCTCCCCCCACACACTCAGGTGCGCTCTTCCCCAGCTCCCCCCACACGCTCAGGTGCGCTCTTCCCCAGCTCCCCCCACACACTCAGGTGCGCTCTTCCCCAGATCCCCCCACACACTCAGGTGCGCTCTTCCCCAGCTCCCACCACACACTCAGGTGCGCTCTTCCCCAGCTCCCCCCACACACTCAGGTGTGCGGCCTCTCCGCAGCTCTCACCAGCGCTCCTTTGCACATGCCACCATCGTCTGACCTCGCCCCTCGCGCTGCTTCCCGTTCCTGCTGCCGCCCCTCGCGTCACTCCCCTCCCCCGCCTTCGCCTGGCCCGCCACGGCGTAACGCGCCACCTGACCGCGGCGCGTTTCTGGGGAGGCGAGCGCGCAGTAGAGGGAGGCGCGCGCGTAATTGGGGGGGGCGAGCGCTTGGGGTACCATGGAGCTGTGCACCACACCACACACCATCGGCACGTCCTACATCCGCACGTGCTACATCCGCACATGCTGCTACATCCTTTGCTGATATCTGGAACTCCCATCCCCAACCAAAGCCCCATCCAACTCTCATTACTTGCTTCTCTCCGCCACCCCGCCAACGCACCCCGCCCTCTCCCTCCACACTGCGCCCAGTGCGCCACGCCACGCCTCCGCCCACACCACACCTCCTATCTAGGAGGGACGGCGTGGTGGGGGGGCTGCTTGGGGAGCAGGTTGCGAGCAGGCGAAGGTGGGGGGGTGGCCCTGGAGGCAGTAGCGGGTAGGGAGCAGCAAGCAGCGAGCAGCGAGTAGATAGCAGTAGGCAGTGAGTAGCGAGCAGTGAGAGGCGATGGGAGCGCCGAAGCAGAAGTGGACGGCGGAGGAGGAGGGGGCGCTGAGGGCGGGGGTGGACAAGTACGGCCCGGGCAAGTGGCGCGCCATTCAGAAGGACCCTGCTCTCGGGCCCCTCCTTACTCACCGATCTAATGTTGACCTCAAGGTGCGTGTGCTGCTGGGGTGTGCCCCAAGTGCTGCTGTGCAGGTGCGCTCGTCTCGCCCCGAGTGCTGCTGTGCAGTGCGGGTGCGCGTGTTCTGCACCTTACGGTGGCGTGGTGTGGCACATCTATAAAATCTTTCCATTTCTTCTTCCCCACCCCCCATGTTTCTACTCCCCTCTCCCCTCTCCTCTTTATTTCACTGCTCCAACCAACCCCCCTCCCACTTCCCCCCCCTTCCGCCCCTCCCCCACCCCTGCAGGACAAGTGGCGCAACATGACAGCAGCAGCCACTGGCGGCAGTGGCAGCAGTAGCACCAGTGCAGTGGTGCCTTTGCCGCGGGTGAGGACCCCCCGGGAGCAACGGGTACCCCAACTCCCCCCCTCCCCCCTAACACCAACAGGACAAGTGGCGCAACATGACAGCAGCAGCCACTGGCGGCAGTGGTGGCAGTGCCAGTGCAGTGGTGCCCATGCCACGCGTGCGCGCCCCCAGGGAGCAACAATTGCCCCACCCTTCCCTTAACTCCCCCCCTCTACAGGACAAGTGGCGCAACATGACAGCAGCAGCCACTGGTGGGGCCGGCAGCAGTGCCAGTGCAGTGGTGCCCGTGCCAAGGGTGCGCGCCCCCAGGGAGCAGCGGGCGGCAGCTGCGGCGGCACGCGCTGAGCTGGCAGCAGTCGTGGCGATGGAGGAGGAGGAAGACGCCCTATTGGCCGCCGCTGCTGCTTGCAGTGACGCTGATGTGGCTGAGGGTGCTGATGACGGTAGTGGTGCTGGTGATGCGGATTTTGCTGGTGGGGGGGGCGAGGCGGGGGTAGGGGCAGGGGAGAGCGGGTCTATGGGCGGGGCTGGGGGGGGGACGGATGGTGAAAGGGGTGGAGAGGGTGTGGGGGGGGGCAGTGCGAGCAGTGGGCGCACTGGCAGTCGTGGGGGGACGGGGGAGGAGGGGACGTGGACCGTTGTACCCTCCGCTGCTGCTGGCATGGGCGTTCCTGTGACGAGCAATGCAAGGTAATGCATTTGTGCTGGTGCTGCTGGCTGTAGAGAAATTGCGTGAGGCAATGGTTTGATGGAACACGGCCGTTGCTGGTGCTTGCCTCGTGCTGCTTTCTGGTGTGGTGCTGCTCTGTTACCTTCAATGCAAGGTGATGCATGTGTGCTGCTGGCTGGCTGGCTGTAGCGAGATTGCGTGAGGCAATGGTTTGATGGAACAAGGCCGTTGCTGGTGCTTGCCTCTTGCTGCCGAAACGTTGAACGAGGACAAGGAGACACTGTGCGGCAGCAGTACGGAGTCTGTTAGCAATGCATATATGTGGGATTCGAAGTCACGGGATTTGCTGGTTCTTGCCTCTTGGTTCTTGCTGCCACTGCTTTCATATAAATTTTGGCAAGCTTTTGCATGGCACGAGATGGCATGGCATGGCATGGCATGTCACGGCATGGCATGACATGGCACCTCACCGCACGGCATGGCATGACACGGCACCTCACTGCACGGCATGGCATGACACGGCACCTCACCGCACGGCATGGCATGACACGGCACCTCACCGCACGGCATGGCATGGCACGGCACCTCACCGCACGGCACGGCATGACATGGCAGGTTGGATGAGGCGATCATGATGGCTGTGGCATCGTTGGAAGGCTCACAGGCAGCACATGGGTGCTCCGCTGCAGCTGTTGTGAAACACATCGAGGTGCGGCCCTGGCTTAAGAAAATTATCTGATGGCTCTGACTCGATCCACTGCACCGCACATCACAGCACATCACAGCACCGCACATCACAGCACATCACAGCACATCACAGCACCGCACATCACAGCACCGCACATCACATCACCACACATCTCAGCACCGCACATCACAGCACCGCACATCCCAGCACAGCACAGCACAACAAAGCACAGCACATCAAACCTCATCCCATGTCTCTGCAACACATCACACCGCACTGCATCGCTGCATATCACATCACAATTTTATGATATTCCATTCCATCATCACACCGCATGGCACCGCATCGCACCGCACCACGCCGCTCAGCGCATCACATTCCTTGCCCTATTCCCCCCTACTCTCCCCCCCTCCGTCTCCCCCCAATCCCCGCCTAGGATCACCAAGCATGAACCCCTGTAACACTGCCCTGTGCCTTGCCACTCATTCTCCCTGTGGACCCACCCTTGCCTCCGCAACCCGCCCCCTTTCAGGACCACCGTGCATCACCACCCAATCTGCGCTGCCTCGTGCTGCATCTCATGAAATTTACTGGCAGTACATCAGTCCCGCTTCCCACTCATTGTCCCTGCCACCCCCGCTACATCAACCCCCCCCCCCCCCCCCCCCCCCTCTTTCCCACCCCTCCTCTTCCCCATCACCCCACAGGACCACCATGCATCATCGCCCAATCTGCGCCGCCTGGTGCCGCATCGCCTTAGAGCACTCTCAGAGGAGGGTTGCCTGGTGAAGGTGAGAGCAGGGGTGATAGAACACCATGTAGGTGCCATGGTTCAATTCTTGGCAATCTGTGGATTCATACAGCGCTCTCAGAGGAGGGTTGCCTCGTGAAGGTGAGAGCAGGGGTGATAGAACACCATGTAGGTGCCATGGTTCAATTCTTGGCAATCTGTGGATTCATACAGCGCTCTCAGAGGAGGGTTGCCTCGTGAAGGTGAGAGCAGGGGTGATAGAACACCATGTAGGTGCCATGGTTCAATTCTTGGCAATCTGTGGATTCATACAGCGCTCTCAGAGGAGGGTTGCCTCGTGAAGGTGAGAGCAGGGGTGATAGAACACCATGTAGGTGCCATGGTTCAATTCTTGGCAATCTGTGGATTCATACAGCGCTCTCAGAGGAGGGTTGCCTCGTGAAGGTGAGAGCAGGGGTGCCATGCCACTATGCCATCGTGCCATCACCCCATCATGCCCTCATGCCATAATCCCATCATGTCATTATCCCATCATGCCGTCATGCCATCATCCCGTCATGCCATCATCCCATCATTTCATCATCTCATCGTGCCATCATCCCATCATCCCATCATGCCATCAAACCTCTATCCCCTCCCACTCCCCCCTCTTCGATTTCTAAGACGCACCAATTGGCCACTGAAACACCTCTGCGTTCCTTGCATACTCACCTAGTGCCACCCCCTGCTTTTCTCCCAACCCACTAGCCTCGCAGCGCACCTCTGTCCCTGCTCTCTCACTCCCACTCATTGGCACGCGAGGCACCTCAACCACATGCCTCCCATGCTCACATGCTCGTAATGTCCATCCACCTTCCCTGTGCCCCCCACCCACTGGCAGGTGAAGCAGCTCTACTACCTGCCTCGCAGCACACCTCTGTCCCTGCTCTCTCACTGCCACCCATTGGCAACGGAAGCAAATTCTCTGCTTGCCTCGCATACTCACTTGCTCATTGCGCCAACCCCCCCCCCCCCCCCCCCCCCCCCCCCCCACTGGCAGGTGAAACAGCTCTACTACCTGCCTCGAAACGCACCGCTGGCTCTCCTCTCTCACTCCCATTCGCACGCCCACTCACACCCTCACTCGCTCACCCACAACCATGACCAAGGGCCAGGGCAAGGCCACGTGGCAGGGCAAGCGCAAGCGCAAGGGCAGGTGCAGGTGCATTCGCCTGCATCTGTCCGGAGGGCACGGGGGGAAGGCAGGCGGGCGAGTTGGCATGGGGAGGGGCTGGATGGGGAGGGTGCGGGTAGAGGGGGGTGGGGGGGAAGTGGCAAGTGGGAGAGTGAGGAGGGGAGGGTGGAGTGGGGGAGCCGGGGGAGTGTGAGGAGGAGGGATGGTCGGAGTGGCAGGGTGGGCAGTGGGAGTGCTGCAGAGAGGGTAGGTGAGGGTAGAGCCAGTGGGACAGCAGCAGAGGGAAGGGCGGGTGGGGCTGCTGCAGCAGCAACAGCAGCAGTAGCAGGGGTGGAGCATCATCTAGGCATGCGCTCCACAGCTGCTCTTCACTCCTCTTCCCCCTCTGCCCCCACTGCTGCTGCTGCCGCTGCTCCAGTGGATCGAATAGCAGCAGACCTGTCGCAGGCCCACCTCTCCCCTCTGCAAACCACCCACACGCCATCTCATGCTTCTGCTGCCGCCGCCGCCGCCGCTTCTGTTGCTGCTGCTGCTGCAAGCACGGGTGGTGCTGGTCCCCATGCTCCTACGGTGGGCCATTTCAAGAAACTCCGTTTTCCCTCTCAGCAGTCGGCCGAAGCAGGAGGAGCCAGCGAAAGAGACCCAGGCGCGCGAGACCGGACCGAGAAGGGAAGAGCAGGCGAGCGTGTGGGAGAAGGAGCAAAGGAGGGGAAGGCGGTGGGTGCAGCGCAGAGTGCGTGGGTGCAAGAGCTGGCACGGAAGGCAGCAGAGGCGATGGCAGAGGCAGAGGCAGCTGTAGCAGAGGCGGAGGCGGCTATGAGAGAAGCGGAGGCCATGGAAGCTGAGGCAGAGGCAGCAGAGGCGGCAGCGAGAGAGCTTGAGGGCAGGAGGCAAGCTGCTGCCGTCAGCTCATAGCAGTTCAAATGAGGTAGGAGATGCGGTAGGGGAAGCGGCAGGGGAAGCCGCAGGGGAAGGGGCAGGGAAAGTGGTGCGTGCAGCATCTGGCACGGAAGGCAGCAGAGGCGATGGGAGAGGCAGAGGCAGCTGTAGGAGAGGCAGAGGTGGCTATGAGAGAAGCGGAGGCCATGGAGGCCGAAGCAGAGGCAGCAGCACGGGATCTGGAAGGCAGGAGGCACGCTGCTGCTGTCAGCTCGTAAAAAACTGAAAGTGGTAGGGGAAAGCAGCAGGGGAAGCAGCAGGGGAAGCAGCAGGGGAAGCAGCAGGGGAAGCAGCAGGGGAAGCAGCAGGGGAAGCAGCAGGGGAAGCAGCAGGGGAAGCAGCAGGGAAGCAGCAGGGGAAGCAGCAGGGGAAGCAGCAGGGGAAGCAGCAGGGGAAGCAGCAGGGGAAGCAGCAGGGGAAGCAGCAGGGGAAGCAGCAGGGGAAGCAGCAGGGGAAGCAGCAGGGGAAGCAGCAGGGGAAGCAGCAGGGGAAGCAGCAGGGGAAGCAGCAGGGGAAGCAGCAGGGGAAGCAGCAGTGGAAGCAGCAGGGGAAGCAGCAGGGGAAGCAGCAGGGGAAGCAGGAGGGGAAGCAGCAGTGGAAGCAGCAGGGGAAGTGGCAGGGGAAGCGGTGGATGCAGCACCTGGCACGAATGGCAGCAGAGGCAGAGGCAGAGGCAGCAGTGGCAGAGGTGGAGGCGGCAGTGAGAGAGGCGGAGGCCATGGAGGCTGAAGCAGAGGCAGCAGAGGCGGCAGCTAGGGAGCTGTAGGGCAGGAGGCACGCTGTTGCCGTCAGCTTGTAGCAATTCGGAAGCGGTAGAGGAAGCTGCAGGGAAAAGCGGTGGGTGCAGAAGCTGACACGGATGGCAGCAGTGGCAGCTGTGGCAGGGGCAGAGGTGGCGGTGAGAGAAGCAGAGGCCATGGAAGCTGAGGTAGAGGCAGCCGCACGGGAGCTGGAGGGCAGGAGGCACGCTGCTGCTGTCAGCTCGTAACGAGTTGTTACTGCTGTCAGTGTGGGTGTGGTTGGCAGCACCAGCTGCCACCTCTGCAGCAGCTTGCTTGCATGTGTCGCAGCAGAGGTGGCAGCGAGGGAGCTGGAGGGGTGGAGGCAAGCTGCTGCTGTCAGCTCTTAGCTCGTTAGTCTGCTCTGCACTACTGCTGTCAGCTCATAGCAATTCTATTGCTGCTGTCAGCTCATAGCTCATAGAAACATCGTCCAGTATGACAGTCCTTGAGTAAGAGAATATGTGCTGCTGATGTGCCGCCATGTGTGTTATTCTGAGTGGTTGTTGGGTGAAAGAAGCCCTTAGGATCATAGCGACCGGTAGGTCAGATTGTAACAGCGGAAGTTCTGGGAGCTGCTGCACTGATATACGAGTATGCTTTTGTATATTGAGTACACTTCTGTTTATGTGTCAGAGAGGCACAGTAACAGTCCCACAACGCGTACGCCAAAAACTCAAACCCGAACCAGACATTTCTAATGGCAGAGGTTCTGCCCGTTATCCAAATATGAGGTCGCAACCAAATCGTCGCACAATCTGTTCATCGTTGGTGCGAACGTAAAAAGCAACACTTTTGTCATCTGGCTGGCACGCTACCGAACCGACAACCTGTGTCCAAAACGAACCTACATGGCTTGGGCACGTTCGTTCGCACAACCTCCTTCTCTCTGTGCCGCCACTCACCTTCAGACAGACCGAATAGATTTGCTTCGCAGGCACCCCAGCACAGCAGCCCAGCCCTCCTCCCAACTGTTGCCCGCCTGCCTGCGAGCCCCGTATGATCCCCGCCCCTTTCCTGTCCTCAGGTGTGACGGACCCGTACTCCTGTCGCTCCACAAACGTTACGCTGTCGCATTCCTGTCGCTCAAAGTCGCCTGCTGTCGCCTCGCGCATGCGGTCGTCGCTGGCGCGTTTCTTGCCGGCCCGCGTGCCGCCGGGCGTGGCGAGGGCGCTGCTGGGGGCGGCGTGGGTGGCGGGATGGGCGGGGCTGTGCGCGTGGGTGGTGTGGTTCGCGCACTCGCAGGCCGCCAATCCGCGGCAGGAGGCGATGCGAGCGTGGTGTCGCACGCGCGTGCGATACCTCCAGCAGGACATCCGATCGTCCATCTCCCGCGCGCAGGTACGCCGAATAGCGCAACCACGCGACAAAGGCCGACGGGATCATGTCCCCCTCATCGCGACCGCATCGCCCCCGCGCGCGCGCGCGGGTGAACCGGTGGCCTGGCAGAAAAAAATTGCTAGCCCAAACTCTCTCGCAAGTACAATTCCTCACGCTGCAGCTCTTCTTCATGACCAGTGACCCGTGGGACTTTCAAAATTTGCTAGCCCAAACTATCTCGCAAGTACCTCTTCCACGGCTGCCCTGGGAACCTTAAACGATCCGACTTTTGAGTCGACTCAAAACGTCTCAAAAATTGGGGGCCCCTGTTGTTACCTCGAGCTAACCCCAAACTTCCCTTGAGGTAACCTGCCAGTGTGTTACATGCAGGTGCTCGTCCAGGTAACATACGAAGTCAACACATGCCCACGATGTGACCTACGGGATCACCGACAGATCGGGGGCCCATGTAACCACGAACTCAGCACGGTTCGCGCACGTCTGACTCGCACGAGCCGTGTCCGCGGGTGAGCCGGTGGCCTGCCAGAAGAAGTTGCCAGTCCAACTCCGCCGGTGGCCTGCCAGAAGAAGTTGCCAGTCCAACTCCGCCGGTGGCCTGCCAGAAGAAGTTGCCAGTCCAACTCCCTCGCAACTACCTCTTTCACCACGGCTGCCCTGGGAACCTTAAACGAACCGCATTGTAGCGCGCAGGGGGCAAGGTCCCTATTTGAAACCCGAGGACGCCCACTCGCAACGGCACCCGCTCTCGTCCTAGTATCACCCCAGCACCCGCACACGCATTTCACTTGCCCAAACTCGAGCAGTCGGATCGCCCCTTCTCGCCTCTCTTTTGAGACGTCTCGCCCCTCATTTTTAAGGCGTCTCAAAAGTCATCCCAGCACCAGCACACGCGATTCACGCGCCCAAATCCGAGCAGTCGGATCGCCCCTTCTCGCCCCTTCTGCTCGCACCCTCTTCTCACCTCTCCACGACAACACCTTGACTTGACGGGGGGGACGTTTCCTGCACCGAGTTGAGTTTTGAGGCGCCTCAAAACTCAACTCAATGCGGCGGGGCGGGGACGTTCCCTTCACTGCCTGCCTATAACGCCCCCTCGCCACCCACGGCGTTGTTACACTGCAGTACAGCCAAGACGCCAGAGGCCAACGAGAGTCTCAGAAAAGCGTAACACCTGCCAATCCCATTTCTTCCCCCATACCCACTTTCCTCAGTCCCTCCATCCCTCCCTTCTCCGCTTGTTATCTCTTCTCCCCTACCCTCCCACTCCCTGCATCTCCCGCCTCCCATCTCTCGCTGCAGGAGTAAATCAGCCTGATAAGCTTCCTGGGCACCTTAGGCAGCACAGCAGCAGCAATATCCCCCCACACAACCTTCCCATCCCCCACCTCATTCCACAGGAGTCAATCGGTCTGATAAGCTTCCTGGGGCACTTTCGGCCGCGCAGCAGCAGCAATATCCCCCCACACAACCTTCCCATCCCCCACCTCATTCCACAGGAGTCAATCGGCCCGATACACGCCCTGGGGCACTTTGGGCCGCGCAGCAGCAGCAACATCCCCGCAACGGCTCGTTTCACCCCCTCCTCCCTATCTCCCGCCCTGGCTCATTCCACAGGAGTCGATCGGCCTGATACACGCCCTGGGGAACTTTGGGCCGCGCAGCAGCAGCAACCTGAGCTACTGGGGGCTGGCGGGGTGCGTGAATAACGCGAGCATGCTGGACTATAACAACCAGGCGGACACACTCGCCAACTACAGCACAGGCGCCATAATTATGGTCGTCACTGACAGAGACAGGTCAGTCAGGTCAGGTCTGGCTGGCTCCGGGGCACCTACAGGCAGGCGGATAAAATATGCAACTACAGCACAGGCACTATCATTATGGTCGTCAGCGACCCAGACAGGTCAGTCAGGTCTGCCAGGCAGCCAGTGGCTGGCTTCTGAGGCACCGTTTTAAACCCTAGAGTCTGGCAAGCTTATGCAAGGGGAAACTACAGCACGGGCATACCATCATTATGGTCATCAGCGACTGAGACAGATCAGTCAAGTTTGGCTGGCTTCTGAGGCACCTGGGAAGCCTAGCAAGTGATTTTTTAGAATTCTCAAAAATTACTCGCACCTGGGAAGCCTAGCAGGCGGCAGGTCAGGGTCAGGTAAGATGCAATAGGCAACTACAACACAAACACCATCATTATGGTCGTCACCGACCGAGGCAGGTCCGGTCTGGCTTTATGCTTTGCTGACTCACCGTGATCATGTTTGTCACCCATCAACACAGGAAATATTCACAGCCTCCTATTCAGTGGGCAGTGGCAGTGGGCTCATAGCATTGCATTGCTTCTCCCCTCCCCTCCTTGCAGGCCCCTTCTGGAGAGCATCATAGGGCAGCCAATCCAGTCAGTGCCTCACCGTGGTTGTAGCAGTGGGCTCATTGCACTCATCCTCTCATCCCCTCCCCACCCTGCACTCCAGGCCCCTTCTGGAGAGCATCATAGGGCAGCCAATCCAGTCAGTGCTGGGTCTGCCCGCCCCAAGGAAGGATATATACGGAGTGAACGCGTATGGCAGCATCAACCCCACCTTTCCCATCCAGTCCTACACCGACTTCTTACCTCTCGTCCCTCGGGATCTCCGCACCAACCTGCTGCGAGGGCAGACCATTGCCGGCGCGCCAGTCTCCGCTGGGCCCGGATACGTGGCAATTGGTGCGTGTGCTCCTGTTCCCTCCGTCTTTTGAGGCGCCTCAAAAAGCGCAGACCATTGCCGGCGCGCCCGCCTCCGCTGGGCCCGGATACGTGGCAATTGGTGCATGTGCTCCTGTTTCCTTCCTCTGTGCCCTACCTCTATTGGTGTTTCAAGTGTCATCCCCTCTTGATCTTGTGTTTGCGAAAGCGTGGTTTGCTGCAACAGAAGAATACCATGCATCTTGTGTGCTCTAGTGTTCATCCCTTTCCCGTTCGTGGTTGACTGGCCATGGTGAAGACTCCATTCGATATCGGGACTACAATGCAAGGTTAAAAATAGTCGTGGTTCAAACTGACCATGCATTCTGCCTCATCGAGAGTACAATGCAAGGTTAAAAATAGTCACGGTTCAAACTGACCATGCATTCTGCCTCATCGAGAGTACAATGCAAGGTTAAAAATAGTCACGGTTCAAACCAAGGTAGAAAAAAACGATTGTCGAAAAATACGATTGTTTTTTTCGATGGTTTTTTACGGTATCTTTTGGGAAAAAAACGTCGTTTTTTTGTTAGACAAAAAAACTCTTCAACTTCAAAGATGCTGTTCTGATCACAAAAGCACTTCTAACAATCTTCCGCTGCATCATCAGCACTTCTAACGGCCCCCTTGTTCTTCTCACCAGTCAATCCCCTTGTTTCAGCAGCAGTTTTGGTCTTTTTACTGAAAAAAACGAAGGTTTTTTTGCACCAAAAGTATTTATTTTCAAAAACCGTTTTTTATCGTTTTTTACGATCGTTTCTTACAATACGGTATTTTACGATCAAAAATTGAAAAAAACGTCGTTTTTTTTGCACCTTGGTTCAAACTGACCATGCATTCTGCCTCATCGAGAGTACAACAATGCAAGGTTAAAAATAGTCGCGGTTCAAACTGACCATGCATTCTGCCTCATCGAGAGTACAATGCAAGGTTAAAAATAGTCACGGTTCAAACTGACCATGCATTCTGCCTCATCGAGAGTACAACAATGCAAGGTTAAAAGTAGTCACGGTTCAAACTGACCATGCATTCTGCCTCATCGAGAGTACAATGCAAGGGTGCCATGGCCTTTCCATCATGCGCTTTCCACCATGGCTAGAATGCCATTGTTTTCTATCAAACTGACCATGCATTCTGCCGGTTACCGCATCTGGTAGGATCTAAGTGCCAGGCTTTCAATGCGGCAATCTGTACTAACCGTTGGGAAACGCTTACAAAAGAAGGGAAGGGACCATTTGTCCAACCGTTCAGTACACCCATCCCCCCCTCCTGGCTTCCTTGCAGTGTTTGTCGTTCCCATCTTCCGCCATCCTCCACCAGCCCGTGCATCTTTGCAAGAGATCCGAAACAGCATCGGCATTGCGTGGGCCGGTGTGGTTCATCTGGAATGGAGGGCGCGAGAATTACTGCGCATGCTTGAAAATGGTGAGTTCGTTAGGCATGAGATGAGCAACGGGTCGGCCCAGGTCAGGTCCGGGTCAGGTCAGGTCAGTTGCGAGAGACGCGGCGGCCCCGAACCAGCCGTGTCCGTTCGGGCGGGTTATTCCGCTCAGGTCGGGTTGAGTCGTGCCAATGGGGAACGTCGGACCGGATTGTTCGGCGGGAAAAGGATGCCGATTGTCCGAATCGGCGAGCAAAAAGCACCGATCCTGGTGGATCAGCAATCAGAAATTGCTGATCAGCGCATAGCTGCGGTCGAATCGAAACGCGCCAATCCGCCCAAATCGATGGTCGAAAAGGCCGATCCGCGCAGACGGATGGTGACGTGAGTCAACATGGTGGGTCGGTTGGACAACCTGAATTTGGGTCGGGTCAACCCAACCAACCTGCCCACATGTCACAGCCGAACTTCGACCCTGATGAGCCCTGGTCGGGTCGGCCGGACCAGTTCTTGACGACCCATTGCAGAGTCAACTCAACCCAACCCGTACCGGGCTCGCGTCGAGCAAAGGTGGATGAATCTGGCTAGAGTTCAGCATGTCCTCTTTGCCGGCCCAGAACCCTCCTCTGTCAATGTCCCGTTTCACGTGCCTAAAGTGTGAATTGCGAGGCACAACTTGAATTTATGATTTTATGTGTATTGCTACTACGGGTTTGTTGTGTGATCCCTTTCCTTTGTGTGGAAGCTCTTATCTTGCCCCCTGCTCAAACCCAGCATGCCTGTTACGTTTGATCACTTCTTCCCTTCTCTCGTCTCTGCAGGCAGCAACACATACTCATTTGCCATGTACGACAACACAGAACCAGACGAGCTCAGCTGAGATTCCACCTCTCCTATTGCTTGTTCCTTCCTCCCCTCTCCTCTTGGCAGGGAGCAGCACATACTCATTTGCCATGTACGACAACACAGAGCCAGGCGGTTTGAAGCAGATATACGGCCCGGAAGAGCCACGACTGGAAAGCGGTTCTGCATTCCCCTTTGTGCTGCCCACACCTGCCGGTTCGATTGCACCAGCGGAGCATGTGGAGCCTTTTCCTGAGAACATGATGGGACGCACATTTGAAGCCCACTGCGGGTACGTACTAGGCGTGGGCCGTGGCATGAGTGGGCTGTGTCTTTCCCTATGTGCTGCCCGTGCCTGTTGTGCCACCCGAGCATGTGGAGCCATTCCCTGAGGACATGATGGGACGCACATTCGAAGCACACTGCGGGTATGTACGCATTGCGGGTTGCAAGCACGAGTAGGGATCAGCAAAGATCAATCGTCAAGCACCGAAATGCTAGTGCCAAAACACTTGAAATTTTGGTTGCCTGAGTGGCACATCCAACTTCGGAATGCACCCAATTTGGAACATACGAGATGTTGTGTTTGACATGAGCAGTGGCTTGTTGGCTAATGGACAGCTCATGAAGAGCCAGAAAGCCAGAATATGAACGCAACGATATATTGGACTGGAACTTACTCGGTTGAGATTGAGTATGCGTCGTTCGTTACAGGAAAACTTGGTGATCATCTTGCATCTCACTGGAACTCTCATCTCACTGGAACTCGCACCTCTGAGAGGATTTAGCATCCTCTCGCCAAGTTATATTTGTTCGTCTAAGATGTTGTAAAAAGGGAGTCCCATGCAACAAATAGAGAATGGTCCTATGAACGAGTTATTGGTGATTCTCTGTACGTTTTTGCCCGTTTGTTTGCCTAGATCTGACCTCGCTCAACTTGCCCAAAGGTCCTCTTTTGGCAATGAATGGATAATGCCATTTTGTGGAATATACTGACAGGTGCCAGGCCGTTCTGCTTTTCACATGTGTAGGTTCCAGGTTCCCCCACCTACTTGGGACCTCGTGTATGCTCCCATGCTGCTGGGCCTACTGGTGCTGCTGGTGGCAGTGCTGCTGTCCACCATGATTGCGGTGTTGGCTTGGAAAAGACGAAATATAGAGGAGGATGTGAAGGAGATTCAGGTGTGCACGGCCATCTTGGAGAGAGCTGAGCGGTCCAAGAGTGAGGCGGTGGCCAGCACGTCGCATGAGCTGCGCACCCCAATCATTGGCATGATGGGTGAGTGTGAGAGCTTGGTATGCTGGGTGAGGGCATGGATTGGTGGGTGAGGGCATGGAATGGTGGGTGAGGGCGTGGAATGGTGGGTGAGGGCGTGGAATGGTGGGTGATGGCATGGAATGGTGGGTGAGGGCATGGTATGGTGGGTGAGGGCATGGAATGGTGGGTGAGGGCGTGGAATGGTGGGTGATGGCATGGAATGGTGGGTGATGGCATGGAATGGTGGGTGAGGGCATAGAATGGTGGGTGATGGCATGGAATGGTGGGTGAGGGCATGGAATGGTGAGTGAGGGCATGGAATGGTGGGTGAGGGTGTGGAATGGTGGGTGAGGGCATGGAATGGTGGGTGAGGGTGTGGAATGGTGGGTGAGGGCATGGAATGGTGGGTGAGGGCATGGAATGGTGGGTGAGGGTGTGGAATGGTGGGTGAGGGCATGGAATGGTGGGTGAACCGAACATTTTCGACATGTTTAACTGCTTGCGGCGAACTCATTGGTGTTAGGTTTTATACGAATCTCGCTCAAGGCCGGCAAAGCAATTTCTACAAGACTTTGACGAGCACACACAGCAACTAAGCCTATTCCGCCATACCCCAGTAGCTGTTACATTGAGGCCAAACATCAAACATCCTAAAACCCTAAACCCGAAACCCTAAACCAAAAAAAAAAAAAAAAAAAAAACGCCTTTCACTAAGAACATGTTTGAATTCTCCATTTGTCCACATCTGTTTGCGGGTTACTGACTTGTTCGAACATGTTCAGGCAAACATGTTCGAGTTCTTCATTTGCTCATGCCTAGTTTAGAGACTACATGCTTGCATTGGACCAGTCGCTTAGAATCTAATTTTGCAGATGTTTTTAAAGGAAAATTTCGTTTCCTGCTATTGCCCCTTTTGGAATGAATACTCTTTCTCCCCCACAGGCATGATAGAGGAATTGTTGGAGTCGCCATTGGAGGAGTGGCAGCGGGCCGACCTGGTAGATGCAAGGGCGTGTGCGGGCGAGACGGTGGAGCTCATCAACCGAGTGTTGGACCTCGCCAAGCTGCAGGCCGGCAGGCTGCAGCTCGAGACTCTCCCCTGCTGCCTGCGCCGCATCTTTCGTGAGGCGACTACATTTGCGCCAGGGAAGAACTTACCAGGTACATGTGTGCATCTTAGACGCCCTTCTCCTTGCCTTTCAAGACGTTGCGTCCATCGTGGTTTTATTCTTGACTGTGTGTTTGTTCGTTTGTTCGTTCGTTGTTTTTGTTGAATACAGTGACTGTCCATGTGGATGACGGCGTTCCAGAAACGCTACTCGGCGATCCAACTCGAATCTTGCAAGTCATGGCTGAACTTGTCGGTGAGTTGTTTGCTGCACGAAACGTAAGGGCTGCTTCAATTTTCTATCGATCTTTTCTACATGCTGAGTTGTTTGGTGCATCCTTTTTGGGTCATAAGTAACCGTTGAACACACAATGCCTAGATTTTTGTTTTGTTCCTCCAGACCAAAGCTCTCTTCTTTTTATCCCGTTGTTTGAGTCAAACCGGTTCGGGTTACACTTAGATTGGTTAGACTGGTCCAATTCGGTTCGATGCGCGGGTGCCTTTACAGGTTAAAAAAAAACTGAGAGTTACCTCTCTCTTACAGTATTCCGCCTATTTCCCTACCCTCACCTGCTTTTTAGGGCATTCTCATGGTAGTTCAGGTGAAAACATCTAAAAGAAGGAAGTGATGCCATAAAAGCCTGCTGATAGCAGCTGCAAATTCTTCCACGCGTTCCAGATTTTCCCCTTCTGTGTCTCCCCCCTTCTCACGCCCCTTCCCGACCCCACCAACCCCCCACGTCACCCCTCCCTCCTGCAGCAAGTGCCATGAACAACACGGCAACAGGCCACATAACCATCCGTGTTTCGTGCATTCCCCCTCCACACGTCGCCAGCACGCCACCTCCACCCGCTGCTGTCCCAGGCGCCACACAAGCCTCCTCTCAGCCGCCCCCACCAGCCTCAGCGTGGCATCAGCTGGCCGGCTGTGTGCAGCGCTTCCCTCCTCACACTCGCCTGCTCTGCCTCCCCCAGCACTGCCCGGCCAGCCAAGGGGGGCCTGTGGGCAACAAGGATGGGCAGCCGTGTGGGCAGGTGCACAGCAGAGACAGTGTAGGCAGTGCAGATGACAGGCAAGGGGGGGGTGGGCAGTTGGAGGAGGAGGTGAGGGAGTGGGTGGAGGGGGCGTGTGCTGTGAGGGAGGAGGGCGAGTGGATGGTGGTGGTGGCATGTGAAGACACGGGCAGTGGTATACCACCTGAGGAGCTGTGGGGGTTGCTGGACCCACATGGCATGCATGGCGGCGGGCAACATAAAGTCATGGTGAGTGTGGTTTTTCGCTTCAGCTCGCGCTGTTGCGCAAGCCAAATGGTTGTGTTGTTAGCAATCTGAGTACGGGATGTGAAATATGTAATGCGATTAGGCAGTCTTTTGTCCCTCTATTCACCGCCATGCACCAGTCCACTCCGGTCCGCTCCAATTGTCTTACACTCACGGGCATGCGAATCCGAATCACCAAACACTTAGATATTCTCGGCCTGCATCACCTGAAGCCACTCTAGTTTCACTTTCACATCCTGGCATTGGCACTTACCGCTTGCGCAAGCACCTTGGTTTTCAAGGTGGTTAACGTTGCGGTCAAGTATTGGTTGCTTGGTATTTGAAAGGGTGGGGTACGAACGACATCATGACAAAGACTGGTCGTCTAACTGTACTGACGATGTTGTTTCAAGGTGCGGACTCAGTACAAGGAGTGCGGACTCAGTACAAGGAGTGCGGACTCAGTACAAGGAGTGCGGACTCGTTACAAGGAGTGCGGACTCAGTACAAGGAGTGCAGACTCAGTACAAGGAGTGCGGACTCAGTACAAGGAGTGCGGACTCAGTACAAGGAGTGCGGACTCAGTACAAGGAGTGCGGACTCAGTACAAGGAGTGCGGACTCAGTACAAGGAGTGTTTTCGTTACAAGGAGTGCGGACTCGTTACAAGGAGTGCGGACTCAGTACAAGGAGTGCGGACTCAGTACAAGGAGTGCGGACTCAGTACAAGGAGTGCGGACTCGTTACAAGGAGTGCGGACTCGTTACAAGGAGTGCGGACTCGTTACAAGGAGTGCGGACTCGTTACAAGGAGTGCGGACTCGTTACAAGGAGTGCGGACTCGTTACAAGGAGTGCGGACTCGTTACAAGGAGTGCGGACTCGTTACAAGGAGTGCGGACTCGTTACAAGGAGTGCGGACTCGTTACAAGGAATGCGGACTCGTTACAAGGAGTGCGGACTCGTTACAAGGAGTGCGGACTCGTTACAAGGAGTGCGGACTCGTTACTGGTTCAGGAGGGATCACATTCTAGGACTGTGCGAGCTGAGAGGGCAACGACGAATTGACACAGGAGAGGATACGGTCACTGGGGAGGGGAGGGCAGACTCATGGAATGCCATCATAGCTCTCACGGGCAAACTGCCGCTCGCATTTGGTCTGCAAACCCTTCCTTTCCTCGGTTGTTGATTGGCAGGAGAGAATTCGGTCGCTGGGGAGGGCGGAGTCATGGAAGAGCCTAGGGAGTTTTGAGTCGACTCAAAACTCATTCGCTTGCAAATTCCTGGTTTTGATTTGGCAGGAGAGAATACGGTCGCTGGGGAGGGCGGAGTCATGGAAGGGCCTGGTGAAGTCGTCATCGTGGCGGCAGAGGGAGCGCAGCACGTGGGATCCGATGCAGCGCGATCGCAAGGCAGCTGCTGGCCCCCGCTGGACGCCCTACCCTGTTCGCTTTCTGCTCTCCACCTCCCTTGTGAGCTTCCTGCTCTCCACCTCCCTTGTGAGCTTCCTGCTCTCCACCTCCCTTGAGCTTCCTGCTCTCCACCTCCCTTGTGAGCTTCCTGCTCTCCACCTCCCTTGTGAGCTTCCTGCTCTCCACCTCCCTTGTGAGCTTCCTGCTCTCCACCTCCCTTGTGAGCTTCCTGCTCTCCACCTCCCTTGTGAGCTTCCTGCTCTCCACCTCCCTTGTGAGCTTCCTGCTCTCCACCTCCCTTGTGAGCTTCCTGCTCTCTACCTTCCTTGTGAGTTCCCTAGCACATCCGTAGGTCTGTAATCAAATGTTTACAAGGAATTTGTACCCTTGGTCGCTTCCTGCCCTCCCGGTCAATTGTCAGTACTCATACATCTCTTCTGCTTTCTCACATGCTTGTTGTCTTCAGCCTTCCATCATTTCTGACTTGACTTCATTCACGCTTATCGTCTTCCTTTATTTCCTCCCCTGCCTGTCCCTTCTCTCCGCATGGCACGGCAGGTGGCGGAGATGCGGGGGGGCATGGCAGTGCTGGCCCAACCTCTTCTTTTCTCTCATCTCCCTCTTCCCTTTCTTCTTTTCCCCTGCATGGCATGACAGGTAGCAGAGATGCGGGGGGGCATGGCAGTGCTGTCAGACGCCGCCACAGGCACCACCATTCTGCTGGCGCTGCCCATGGGGGAACAGAAGGACGCCAGCAGCACAGGAGTGGGAGATGGGAGTGGTGAGGAAGCTGGCAAGTCAGCACAGGCTGGTGAGGAGGAGCGTGTGGAGCAAGAAAGCGAATCGCAGGGAGGCACGGAGGGGCCAGCCAGTACTACCGCGGCTCTCCCTCACTCTCTCCCTCACTCTCTCCCTCACGCTGCTGCCGCTTCGCAACCAACTTCGCCGCCACAACAAGCAGCAGCGACGCAGCCAGCCTCGCCGCTGGTGCGGGCACGCACGTTCCCAGAAGTGGAGTTGGAGAGGGCCGTGGGGGAGGCGGAGCGGGTGGTGCGGGGGGTGGTGGCGGGGCGGGGGGTGGCGGTGGTGGATGACAACGCGGTGAACCGCATGGTGGCGCGCAGAACGCTGCAGGGCTACGGGGCGCACGTGCTGCTGCTGCCCTCCGGGGAGGACGCGCTGCAAGCGCTCTCCTCTGCCGCGCCCTCCCCGCCCATCCACCTGCTGCTCCTCGACCTCCACATGCCGCCCGGCATCGACGGGTCTGTGCCGTGTTCCCCCTCTCCTGCACCTCTCTCTAACCTCTTTTTTACCTTTCCTTCAACTTTCCTTCATGCTGCGACCTCTCTGCATTGTGGTAGTGATGCGGTATATTGTTTTCTGTTCGCCGAACCCTATTTTCTCTTGTCTTGAGCATGTCTCGCCGTATGCTTTGTACATATGTATATGTGTATATATATATATATATATATATATATATATATATATATATATGTATGTATTTTTTCTCCATGCATTTCTGTGCGTACTTGTTTTCCCGTCTCTGGCCCCGTATGCCTTATGTTGCCAACATTGCATGCTTCCAGATTTGAAACGGCTCGTCGAGTGCGTGCTTTGGAAAATGCACAGCAGATGAAAGTGGAAACGAATGCAACAGAGATATGTGAAGTAGCCGATACGAGGGTAGATGATGCATCAAAACAGCGGCTTTGCATCATAGCATTGACTGCGGACTTGGATGCAGGGATCAAGAGAGCATGCTTAGAGGCGGGGATGGATGGAGCAGTGAGCAAGCCGATAGTGGCTCAGGAGCTTGCTGCAGCGCTCTCAGCTGCAGGGTTAGTACATATTTTGTAGTGGTTACGTATAAATGTTGAGTATAGGAAGCGGTGTACGGTATAAGTTATCTGTACTGCATTTGTAATGAATGTGAATTCATTACTGTAGAGGCTACTCCTAGCGAGGACAGCCCGAACTGTTCACGTCAGTTGGGGTTCGGCCTACACTTCAGCCCGAATCACTTCCGAGTCGCCCCGCACCAATCGCGACACTTCCAACCCATCCACGTCCCGAGGTCCTCGCCTACCACGGTTTCGACCCTATAAATGCTTTCTTCTTTATCATTCTCGTCATTCTGTAGTTCTCATCCTTTTTATAAAGTCTTCTGCGCACTCTTCTTAGTACAACTCATAACACCTGGTATCAAAGCCTAAGTTCCTAGGTTCCCCATTTTTTAGAGTGTATTACCCCTCGGGGGGGGGGGGGACAGGGAAGGATGCCGTGGTGACAGGAGCAGCGCAGTAGCCGGCCAGGAGAACGGATAGTTGCTCCTAGCGGCCATGTTTTTACTGGCGCTCCTGCTGCACTGACGGATCCTTGCCCTCGACGGTCGAGATGGACCGTGGCCTCCCTCCCCCCGGGTGGCGGACAGCTTTTGCTGTCGTCGCATTTAATTGCGTGAGTATATTTCATCGTTTCCGTTAATCTCGGCGCTGTTTTTATGCGGCAGTTGTGTGAAGATTAGAGCGAGAATGAATGACTAGGGAATGAAAGAGATACAAATGTGAAACCCTAGAATTGTGTACCTTTTAGTGTCTAACCCGCTACAGCCTACACAGGCCAAATCATATAAGTTTGACACACCCCCATAGGCAAAGTGGGGGAGAACAATGGGTCACAAGACCAGTCAAGCAAAGCAAAACAAAGCAAGCTCAGGGTGGATCACAACGTCACCACATATTCTGAGCACAAGTCAAGGCCACAAGGCCAGTTCACATGCATGATTACATATATATAACGATAAACAAGCAAGAGCAGGTACACATTTATATATATATGTAACAGTACAAGCAAGGTCAAGAGGTGAGTGTGAAGATTAGAACGAGAGAAAGTGGTTGAACTATGAAAGAGTTGGGTACAAGTACTAACCCTAATTGAGTTGTACCCCTTGTGGGCTACCCCACTATAGCCTACACAAATGTATAAGCTATAATGTTCTTACACACCCCCATAGGCAAAGTGGGGGAGAACAAGTGGTCACAAGACCAGTCAAGCAAAGCAAAGCAAGCTCAGGGTGGATCACAAAGTCACCACACAGTCCGAGCACAAGAGTAAGGCCACAAGGCTAGTTCACATGCAAGGTCATATATATAAAGGTAAACAAGCAAGTGCAGGTATAGAAGAGTACAGTACAAACAAGATCAAGAAGTGAGCAAGTGAGGCCAAGTAGGCACAAGACCGAGCAAAGTACAGAAGCGCTGATGATCACAAGGCGGAAGGGCCTTGGTGAAGATATCAGCAGTGTTGGCCTCAGAGGCCACGTAGGTGAGGCGGAGCTGACCACGCTGCTGCAGCTCACGAGACGGGAAGTAGCGGAGAGCAATGTGCTTCGTTCTGTGCTCCAGTCTGTGCTCCCGACACAAGGCCAGCATGGCCTTGTTGTCTACGTACAGAACTGGAGGAGAACGAGGCGGCTCTCCTAGGTCAGTCAGCACGTAGGTGAGCCAGCGTAGCTCCTGTGCAGCCATGGCCCTTGCGTAGATCTCAGCCTCACAGCTGGAGGTGAGAACAGAAGACGAGCGGGTAGACCGCCACGAAACAGAGCCGGAGCCAAGGCTGAAGGTGTAACCCAGTAAAGACCGCTGCAGAGCCTGGTCGTCAGCCCAAGAAGCGTCAGTGTGACCGGTGAGGACCACTCGACGTCGCCCTCCAAGCACTAGCCCCATGCCCTACGTAATGCACACGTAGCGCAACACCCTCTTTGCTGTAGCCATGTGCTCTGGTCGGTGTCTCCCAGGAGCAACATAGCGTGCCAAGATGCTAAGAGGGTATGCAAGGTCAAGTCGTGTGCAGGTCATCAGGTACATGAGGCAGCCAACAAGCTCTGGGTACAGACCACTCGGCTCTACGGACTCATCCGAAGGCAGAGCTGAGAGCGAGTGGCGAGTAGACAGAGGAGTGGCCTGAGGCGAGGAGTACGTGAAGCCGAAGCGCTGTAGGACCTGCTGCACCATGTGTGACTGAGTCAGGGTAATGGTGCGCTGTGCTCTGTCCCGGGTGATCTGCAAGCCAAGGTAGCTGCGCAATTCACCCAGGTCTGTGCACGTGTGTCTCTTCTGCAGCTCGGACTTCACGTGGGCGAGTCCAGCAGTGTCAGCAGTGGCAAAGACCAAGTCGTCGACGTACACGAGGATGTAGAACGGCGGCAAAGAGGTGTCGGTGCGCAGAAACAACGACGGGTCGGCTGTAGAAGGAGCAAACCCAAGAGCCGCAAGTGTAGTCCTCAGTGTGTCGTGCCACTTACAGAGCGCCTGGCGGAGACCGTAGACTGGCCGCCGGAGGCTCCACTAGGTACCAGGAGGAAACGACTGAGTGAAGCCAGGAGGGCGGCGCAGCCTGATCTCCTCGTGCAGGCTGCCCTGCAGGAAAGCTGTGCTGAAGTCAAGAGAGTGAAGCTGGTAGTCGCGCTGAGCGGCTATGTGCAGCAGCACCCGAAGAGTGGTCATCTTCGGGGTGGGAGAGAAGGTCTGAAAGTAGTCAACTCCCTGCCGCTGACTGAAGCCTCGAGCCACGTAACGCGCCTTGAAGATAGGCGGAGAACCCGGCGGCCGCTTCACCCTGAAAATCCACATGCCGTTGACGATGTTCGCCCCAGGTGGGGGAACCTCGTCGACGTAGGTGCGTGTGGACTTCTAGGAAGCCATCTCTGCGTCCATGGCTGACTGCCACTGAGAGGAGTAGGGACCCTCGATCGCCTCAGCGTACGATCGAGGAGTCGGGATGTCTGGTGCAACCGGGTCTCCCTCAGGGGCAATCAGCGTGGACACGAGATGGGGCAAAGCAGCAGCAAAGCACTGGAACTCCTCCTGCCTGTCCTCAAGGACGTCCGTGCTAAGAGCACACTCACCCCCGACGGACGGAGGACAGACAGACTCAGACTCTGCAACGACACTAGCAGCGTAGTCTAGACGACAGCGAGCAGCGAAGTCGACAAGCTCAGCAACCAAGGCAGACGCAGCAGTGGACTTAAAGGAAGGGTTAGTGACAACAGTAGCAAGAAGGCGCGTGATCGAAGGACTAGCAGCACGAAGGGAGTCAAACTCCGGGTCAGCAAGAGAAGGAAGAGAGGACTCTGGAGGAGACGGCAACGGGACACGCAGAGGAGCAATGGAAGGACGCAGCGCCATCTGGTGTTTGCCGGGGACCGCAGGAGGACGCGGACGCGCACTACGACCACTAGTGCGAGCAGCACGAATAGGCGACGCAGGACGAGACGCACGCTCACGACGCTCAGCAAGACCTCCAGTAGGACCAGTGTAGGGAGAAGGAGCAGGTAGAGGGGAGGCGGGCTGTAACTGTGACTGCGACTGGAGAGGTTGTGGACACTCTAAGGAAGGAGCAAGACCAGGAGAGGGCGGGAGACCAAGAACCTGCTCCAGGAGTGGAACGAAGTACGGCCTCGGCCGCTCAGCGCCTTCAGGACCAGCAAGGACGGCACCAGTACCCTCAGCGGCAGCACCAGCGCTAGCAGCACCTCCAGCTCCACCAGCGCCAACTCCAGCACCCTCAGAAGCACTATCGTCAGCAGCACCACCAGCGCCAACACCCCCAGCAGCTTCAGCTCCAGCAGCACCAGCTCCAGTAGGACCGTCAGCTCCAGCAGCCTCAGCAGCACCCCTAGACGCACCAGCGTCAGTAGAAACACTAGCGCCAACACCCCTAGCAGCTCCAGCTCCAGTAGAACAAGTACCGCCAGCAGCTCCAGCAGGACCAACTCCAATAGCCCCAGCAGCACCCCCAGTCTCAGTAGCACGTCTCCAGCGGCGGGCAAACCACTCGCGCAGCTCCTGTGGAGAGAGCGGCTCCCGCCTCGACGAAGAACCGCCGGCGGCCACACGAGCAGATGCAGCGGCCCCAGGCTCTGCACCCCCAGGCTCCGCACCTCCAGGCTCCGCACTCCCAAACCCAGCACCCCCAGTCTCAGCACCCCCAGACTCAGCACCCCCAGTCTCAGCACCCCCAGTCTCAGCACCCCCAGACCCGGCACCCGCAGGCTCAGCACGTCTAGCAGCAGCAGAGTCAACAGCTACCTTGATAGGCTCGACTGCGTCTACCTGGGACACACCTGACGGGGCAGGACCCTGGGGGGGGAGGGGGTCTACCGGGGGAGGACCTGGTGCAAGGAAGAGTTGCGGCGGGGGGAGAGGCGCAGTGCGGTAGGGGAAGAGATGGTAGTAAGGTACCAACTCGTCAAAGGTGACGTCCTGGGAGGACAGAACACGGCGAGAGGTGGGGTGGTAAAAGTGCCACCCAGGCGCGTCAGGGGGGAAGCCAAGGAAGACGTAGGGAACAGCACGGGGGGACAGTCTGTCCGCAGACAAGCCGCGGACAAACGCCCGAGATCCCCAGACCCGGAACGCAGACACATCGCCAACCTTCCCGGTCCACCGCAAGGCGGGGGAGGTCTCTGGCAAGGAGACCCGGGGCTGAAGGTTGAGCTGATGCGCGGCGTACTAAACCGCAAACGACCACAGAAAATGGGGGGCAGCCGCATGCATCATGGACGTACAAGCGACATCCATGACCATGCCAATGCGGCGCTCAGCAATCCCATTCTGCTGTGGAGAGGCCGGAAGTGTGAAGGTCTGGCGGATGCCCTGTGCACGACAGAAGGCTCCCAGACGGGCACAGGAAAACTCCCCGCCTCTGTCCGAGTGCAGACGCAGAACAGGAAAGTCCGAGCCGGAACTCTCTCTGAGATGGAGACGAGCTGCGCGGATCCAGTCGATCAACACCTCAGTGACGTCACCCTTGCTGCGCAAGGGGAAGACTGTGGTGTAACGCGAGTAGTCGTCAAC